CCCTCCCCCCTCTCTCCCTTCCTTTCTTCTTTCTTTCTATAGAGAAAAAGACATCTTCAATTGGATTCACTGGATTTTTATTTTTCAGGGTAGGGGGTACCAGTCCTGGCTTCAAACTGAGCTCCTCAGATTTTAGCCTCCTAAGTAGCTAGGATTACAGGTGTGAGCCACCAGGGCCCAACTCAATCACTGGATTTTAAACATAGCTTAAGACACATTTATGTTACTATCGCCTTAACAGAGGGCCTGTTAACACTCCTTTAGTAACTGTAGGATTAAAAAAAAAAAGTAAGCATGAGCCAGGTGCTGGTGCCAGCCTGGGCATGAAAGTGTGAAACTCTTATCCAAGTAAACACTAAAAAGCTGGAAGTGGAGCTGTGGCTCAAGTGGTAGAATGGTAACGTTGAGCAAAAAAGCTCAGTGCCCAGGCTCTTGAGTTCAAGCCCTAGGATTGATGAACACCTCCCCACCCCCCACTATATATATAAAGTCAGTCCAATAATTATGGTAATTTGGAACCTGCAAGAAAAGGCATCTAGTGCCACCTGGTGGCAGTATCTCTAATTGCAAATTATTCTGGTGGATCAGGGTTAAAAGTTTTGTTTTTGTTTGTGTTTGTGCATTTTGCCAGCCCTGGGGCTTTAATTCAGAGCTTGCATTGTGTCTCTATGAGCCTCTTCTGCACTCAAGGCTAGCACTCTACCACTTGAGTCACAGTGCCAATTCTAGATTTTTCAGAGTAGTTTGTTGGAGATAAGAGTCTCATGGACTGTCTTGCCCTGGATGACTTTGAACCTTGATCCACAGATCTCAGTGATCCTCAGAGCTCAGTGTCTTGAGTAGCTAGGATTATAGGTATGAGCCACCTGCACCACAGCTCCACTTGAGCCACAGCTCCACTTCTGGCTTTTTTTGGTAGTTTGGTAGAGATAAGAGTTTCATAGACTTTCCTGCCCAGGCTGGCTTCGAACCTTTATCCTCAGATCTCAGCCTCAGGAGTAGATAGGATTACAGGCATAAGCCACTGGCATCAGTCTGTTTTGATTTTTAAAATGACAATTTCTGAAGATTAAAATCTCCCACAGCCACCAGAAAACCAGCCATTTTCTAAAGTAATAGCACTGTGTACCCGAAGTATACCTTATACTTCAGCTTTGCTCATCCGGTTTTTTTTGGGGGTCAGGTGTGGGGCCTGAACTCTGGGCCTGGGCGCTGTCCTTCAGCTCAAGGCTAGCATTCTACCACTTGAGCCACAGCACCACTTCCGGCTTTTTTCTTTTTGCTTATGTGGTGTTGAGGAATCGAACCCAGGGCCTCATGCATGCAAGGCAAGCGCTCTACCACTGAGCTACCTTCCCAGCCCCTCATCTGTTATTTTTGAATTAGTGTTTTATCATTTAAAATGTAGTTGTTCTTAATGGCCGAGGATGTGATGGTGAATCTGGGACAGACTTGCAACACAGGTGATAAATTCCTAGACTTATGGTCTGTAGTCTCTTATATTGGTGATTTGGGGTGGGGATGATTATAGAAACATTCACTTATGTCTATTAATGTTTTATAATGCAAATTGAATGTGATAAAATATTAAAAAATATCATTCATTAAATATTGAAAAGTTCAGTATCTGGAACTTGCCAAACCCTTTCATTCTACTGGCTGCTTCAAGGAGCAATTTAGAAACTTTGAATTATAAATTTAGAATACTAGGGAGTGGGTAAAGATTGCAGAATAGAGCTATGACGTTATCTTCTCCCTGGAATCATTAACCATTTCCAGCCTTAGCCATTCCAGTAAGGTGGCAAATTGCACATTGTGTTTGCTTCAGTTTGCTTTGCCCAGTGTTTTTATATTTCTTACAGGTTAAATCAAAGCAGTGGATTCATTTAGTTAAAGCCATGAGTTTTATGGCTTCACATATTGAAATAATCTGCAGTTTTAATACTTATTATACTTGGAATTTTATTAATAAAACCTTAAGCTATGAAAGTAGATTAAAACCAAATATTTCTATTAAGGTAAATCAGGGAAATAGTTTGTGTTTTGAAACTAGAGAGTGGCTCTTTCTGCCTTGGGAGAAGCATGAGAAGGCAGTTACCTACAAGTAAAGAAGAGAGAGCTCACATTCTGGCCCTCTGAGCTGAGACTTAACCTCCGGTCTGAGAACTAAAGCTTCTGTTGTTTAATTTTAAAAGATGAGAACCAGCAGCATCTTGAGAGAGTGTGTGTATTAAAGTAGCCTATTAATCGCACCTTGGTCACTCTGTGCATGTTTTATTGCAAAGGCTGCCTGAGGAGGCTGCTGGGCCCGCAGTTGGGTGAGATGCCCTGCTCCTCACAGGGTAGAGCTGTCTCTGTTCCATACCAATGCTGCTTGTTAGGCTTTCAAAAATAGTGCCACCAGCAGCACCCTTTCAAGGTCTGTCCTTGGGGCAACTGTGGCTGATCTCTTCTTGGGCCTCCCATAATCCAACCATATCCTTTTCTAGACAAGCTAGCAGTCTCTTCTGGCCCGTTTGGCATATTGCCTCTGGCGTTTCCACTTTCCTTGTTTGGAACATCCACTGGCCAGAAGCACACTCCACAGTGGCTAAAACCCAAACCATCCCAGTTCCCAGCTCCAGAGCGAACTTCCCCATTAGAGGAATACAGACCAGACTTGGCTCCTTATATATGCATCCAGTTGCTGAGTTAAGAACAGAAATCCTTGGAGTCTGGTGGGTGAGAGCTCTATCAGCCCAGCACCTGAGTGTTGGGAGTGCCGTGCCTCTTATGGCCTGCCAGGTCGGTGCTGTCTTCTTTTTTTCTTTTCTTTTCTTTTTTTTTTTTTGGTCATGGGGCTTGAACTCTGGGCCTGGGCACTGTCCCTTTGCTCTTCAGCTCAAGGCGAGCGCTCTACCACTTGAGCCACGGCACCACTTCTGGTTTTCTTGTGGTTTATTGGAGATAAGAGTCTCATGGACTTTCCTGCCCGGGCTGGCTTTGAACCTTGGTCCTCAGATCTCAGCCTCCTGAGTAGCTAGGATGACAGGCATGAGCCACCAGCACCGGCTTATCTTCTTTTACAGATAAGGAAACTGAGGTTGATATGAGAACCCAAGCAGTGTTCATCACACAGACTTGAGGGTCCTAACCTCTCTTCATGTTGCACTGACAGAGGGAGGGAGAGGGCATGCTGATGAGCAGCTGAACAAAAGCCAGGTGCCATGCCCCATGCTTGTAATCTTAGCCATTAGGGAGAGCTAAGATGGGGGAATTGAGGTCTGAGGCCAGCCCCAGCAGAAAAGTTAGCACACCTCTTCTCAAATCAGTAGCTAGGTACAGGCATGAGCCTGTCCTTCTAAGCTGAGATTGGGAGAATGACAGTTTTGAGCTAGCCCAGGCAAAAAGTCCTTGAGATTCTTAATCAAGAAAGCAGGACACAGCCGGGCGCTGGTGGCTCACGCCTGTAATCCTAGCCACTCAGGGGGCTGAGATCTGAAGATTGTGGTTCAAAGCCAGCCCAGGCAGGAAGATCCTTGAGACTATCTCCAATAAACGACCAGAAAACTAGAAGTGGCTCTGTGGCTCAAGTGTTAGAGTGCTTGCCTTGAGCTGAAGAGCTGAGGGATAGCGGCCAGGCCCAGAGTTCAAGCCCCACAACTGACCAAAAAAAAGAAAGAACAAGAAAAAAAAAAAAGAGGGACTGGGAAGGTGGCTCAGTGGTAGAGTGCTTGCCTTGCATGCATGAGGCCCTGGGTTCGATTCCTCAGTCCACATAAGCAGAAAAAGCCAGAAGTGGTGCTGTGGGTCAAGTGGTAGAGTGCTAGCCTTGAGCTGAAGAGCTGAGGGACAGCACCCAGATCCAGAGTTCAGGGCCCACAATAAGAAAGAGAGAGAGAGAAAGAAAGAAAGAAAGCAGGACACAGTGTTGCATACCTGTAATTGAGAGGTGATGATGAAAAATTTAAAGTGGGCTGGGTGCTGGTGGTTCACGCCTGTAATCCTAGCCCTGGGTTCGATTCCTCAGTACCACATAAGCAAAAGAAAAAAAAGCCGGAAGTGGCACTGTGGCTTAAGTGGTAGAGCACTAGTCTTGAGCTGAAGAGCTGAGGGACAGCGCCCAGGCCCAGAGTTCAGGCCCTGCAACCGGACCCAAAATAAAAAATTAAAAAACAACAACAACAAAAAACTAACCTAGGCAGGGAAGTCTGTGAGACTCATCTCCAAAAACCACCAGATATCTGGAAGTAGTGCTGTGGCTCAAGTGGTAGAGGGCTTACCTTGAACTAAAGAGCTGAGAGACAGCACCCAGGTCCAGAAGAGTTGAGCCACATGACTGACCTTCTCCCCCCCCAAAAAAAAAAAAAAACAAAAATAAAGTAGACAGATTGCCACTCAGGCACACATCTGGGTATGAAGGGAGATCCTATCCTAAAAATAACCATTGAAGCTCAGGGTTAGCAGTATGGCTGCAGAGGTGGAGTACTAGCTTGGCAAGTGTAAGGCCTTGAGGTCAAACCCCAGTATTGCCCAAAAATGAGAGGGAGGAAAGACAGTAGGAAGAGGTCCTTTTAGGAAGAAATCTTGAACAAGATCCAGCATGAGCTTCCAAGACTGAGAGGCTAGAGGTCATAACAGTTTTGATACATTTAAGATGGTATTTGCCTTTCCCAGTTCTCTGGAAAGTATCTCCCCAGGGTACAGTGGAAATTTCCAGACTGACAGGTTGACCATGCAGTGTATTGCCTGGAGGGGATAGAGAGGAGGCCTACTATGAGGCCAGACAGCAAAGGATGTGCAGAAGTCTAAGACAACGACACATTTCTTTTTTTTTGGTGGTTGTGGAGCTTGAACTCTGGGCCTGGGCGGTATCGCTCAGCTCTTCAGCTCAAAAGTAGCACTCTACCACTTGAGCCACAGCACTACTTCCAGTTTTCTGGTGGTTTATGAGACATGAGTCTCACTGCCCTGGCTGGCTTTTAACCGTGATCTTCATATCTCAGCCTCCTGAGTAGCTAGGATTACAGGCGTGAGCCACTGGTGCCTGGCTTTGCCACATTTCTTAAAAACTGCTTCAAAGAATGTTTTTCCATAAGAAATGTTTTTATGCTACAGTGTATATACTGTAGCATGTATGTATATATACACTGTACATATACATGTACATATACATATGATAATACACTGCAGTATATATATGTATGTATATATAGTATATATATATATGTATGTATGTATGTATGTATATATACTGTAGTGTAAATGTGAGTCAGTGCTTCATATTTGCTAGAATGATGTTCTACCACTTGAAGCACTGTTCTTTCCCGGTGATTTTGTGGATGGAATCTGGTGAACTTTTCTGCTTGGACTGGTTTCAAACTGATTCTTCAGATCTCAGCTTTCTAAGTAGCTGAAATTGACTGGTGCCCTGTTTTTTCAGTGAATATTTTTTGAGATTTGGTCTTGTCTAGATACACGCCTGGCCTGCGATGCACCTAGTTTACACATTCCATCTTAGCTAGGATGGCAAACATATACCATCATGTCTGGTTTCTTTTGTTGACATGGAGTCTCATGGACTTCCCTGCCAGGACTAGCCTAGAACCGTCTACTTCCGATCTCATTCTCCCTTGTAGCTAGGATAACAGGCAGGAGCCATCAGTGTCTGGTGGTATGATTTTTTTTTTGTTTTTTTTAAAAAATGTACTAAATGGTCTGGCTTTCCTTTTTGGTACAGTGAAACATGATTGATAGATTCATGTAAGCAAATGCTACTGGAAACCTCAGTAACTTTTGCTGTGGAGGGCTCCGTGGTCACTGCCATGTGGAGGAGAGAGAATAGAGCAGAAGGTTTATTGCTGAGCTACTGTGACAGTCCAGGATCATGGAATGATGAGAAATGGCTTCTGGCATTGTGTGTGTGTGTGTGTGTTTTGTTTTTTCTGGGGATTGATCCCAGAAGAAAACCAGCTTTGGGATTTTTGTTTAAATTGTAACAAAAACTGTCCTGAAATTTCCTACCTTTCCCAGCTTTTGAGCTAACAATTCGTACTTCTAAACATATTCCCTAGCCACCAGAACTCATCATGTTGCAAATGCAAACTCTATGCCCATTAAACATAGCTCCTCAGTATCTGGATTTATGATGAAAGTGAAGGCAGAGGGATTTGCTATTGTTTGGGTGTGGTGTGCTAGATTCCTTGGAAAAGGCAGGTGAGGCCTAGGCTTGCTCCTACCTTGCTCTCCTGTTATCACATCCTGACTGTCACCCAGTGACTGGGACAGGTTCTGAGTTGCTGCTCCATCAGATGCTGTGAACATCAGAGCAGACTTACACAAATGACTTTATAATCATATCATCCAGCGACCTAAGGCACATATGTGGCCTGTTGAAACATTATTAATGCAGCATATGACTAATATCCCATGGCAACACTGTTGGTTTTTGGGGGGAGGGCAGGATGTTTTGGGGTGCAGGGACACCTTCAGCCTTCGTGTATACAATGCAGGCGCTTTGTCACTGAGCTACAGCCCGCACCCTGAAGATACTTCTGGATTGCACCTGCAGGAAAAAACAAAACATGTAGTTCACTTAACCGTGGAAATAAAGTCTTCCTGTTTCTTCTCTTCCTTTCACATGGTTTAATTGGGTTGTTGCATGGCTGATACAGGTCCTGGGGTTAGAGGGTGCGAGTTAACATTAATAAAGTGAAAAGAAAAGGAATGTGAGGGCTGGGAATGTAGTTTAGCGGTAGAGTGCTTGCCTAGTATGCATGAAGCCCTGGGTTCGATTCCTCAGTACCATATACACAGACAAAGCCAGGAGTGGCACCGTGGCTCAAGTGGTAGAGTCCTCACCTTGAGCTAAAGAGCTCAGGGACAGCGCCCAGACCCCCCCCCCAAAAAAAGAAGAGTGCTGGGGATTGAACCGAGGCCTCACAAAAGCTAGTCAAGCACTCTACCAGTCACACTTCCAGCCCTGTAATGTTAATGGAGTAAATAAAATGATGCAACCATTTTTTCTTTGTAAACTCTCTGCTTCTGAAAACAGGTAGTTTGAGTTTATTTATAACCCTCCTCTTTCTCTTTATTTCTAGGGTAACTTATTTCTTATTTTCTATTACATTATAGATTTAGATAGTTTCTAATGTCTACTCTAGAATTTAAAATTTTATCCCATTTGGGTCTAGATATCTAACGTGACCACAAAAATAGGAATGTCGTTTTTCTAGACTGAGGAGGACTTGTTTATTTTACTCATAGTTTGTGGGATGTGGCTAGGTAGTAAGAATGCCTAGCCTTCCTCAGGCTCTGGGTTCCAATCCCAACAGGCCTTCAACAGTTTACATATGTATCTCCAAAGTAGTGGAGTTTAAAACAGCAATTCTGTGTTTTTTTTTCTTACGCAGTTAACAAGCACAAGCCATGGCTCGAACCGACCTATCATGGAATTGTTACGGAGAACGACAACACGGTGCTGCTTGATCCTCCCCTCATCGCCCTGGATAAAGATGCCCCTCTGCGTTTTGCAGGTATGGTGCTCGTTTCGCTTCTTGGCAAGTGTGGACTGCATAGGAAGGTGTTACATACCTTGGATTGCTCTTGAGTCTGGTGGAAAGCACAGAGGGTTTCTTGTACCTCCTGGCTACTACATGTTCTCCTCCAGATAGCTGGCTAAAACTCATTCTGACTGTTGGGAAGGAAACTATTTAACTTAATTATATCATTACAAATCTTGCTTTGATGAAGTTCGATGGATACTATCTAGACCAGTAGGGCTTACAGTTCATCATGTTCTCCCAGGACTGTGTTCAATGTAGACATGGTGTGGTTGGACCATGGGAACCTGGGCTCGGCCTGATTTACCTGCACCCATGTACCATGGAAGATACTGAGGATCTAGAGGTTTTTGGCTCCAGAGCTTTCTTGCTTCTAGATTTCTGTCAAAAATTTGAGCAGTCTATAGAGAAATACTTTTGGTATAAATTTATTTCATAAGATTATAACATACATTTTTATCAAGACAAATCTCTAGGGTAGATTTGGGGACTTTGGGAGATGAATAAAAGTTTTCCTCATTGCTGAGAATTACTGATCCTTCCCAAATCAGCTGTTCTTGCCCAATAACATCAACCATGGTAATGTCTATAACTGGTCGAGGGATGTGCTGTGTCATTTGTTGTCACCCTCAGAATCAGAGTAGATATTAAAAAATGAGTTTTTCAGTGGTGGTAAGAGTTTGAGTTTTTAATTCAGGGCCTTGTGTTTTCTGGGTATGTGCTCTACCACTTGAGCTTCTATGCAAAACTAATTGAAACATTTTCTTGTGTACTTGTACTGGGCCTTGAACTCAGGGCTTAGGGTCTGTTCCTTGACTTTTTTGCTCAAAGCTTGGTGTTTTACCACTTGAACCACAACTCTACTTCTGGCTTTTTTTGGTAGTTAGACATGAGTCTCATGGGCTTTCCTACCTTGGGCTGACTTTGAACCATGATCCTCAGATCTCAGCCTCAGGAGTAGCTAGGATTAGAGGTATGAGCTACCAGTGCCTGACTTGAAAAAAATAATTTTTATATTTTGTTGGTTGTGAGGCTTGAAGTCACTGTCTCTTTTTACTCAAGGCTAGTACTCTTCCACTTTGAGCTAGTACTCTTCCACTTCAGGTTTTGAGTGGTTAATTTAAGATAAGAATCTCACAGGGACTTTTCTGCCCTGGCTGGCTTTGAACTGCAATTCTCAGATCTCAGCCTCTTGAGTAGCTAGGATTACAGGCACGAGCCACCAGTGCCTGGCACAAAAATTAATTTTTTTTGGGGGGGTCCAGTTGTGGGGCCTGAACTCTGGGCCTGGGCGCTGTCCCTCAGCTCTTCAGCCCAAGGCTATTGCTCTACCCCTTGAGCCACAGCGCGGCTTTTTTCTTTTTGCTTATGTGGTGCTGAGGAATTGAACCCAGGGCCTCATGCATGTAAGGCAAGCGCTCTACCACTGAGCCACCTTCCCAGCCCCACAAAAAATTAATTTTTTTTTTTTTGTCGGTCATGGGGCTTGAACTCTGGGTCTGGGCGCTGTCCTTCAGCTCTTCAGCTCAAGGTGAGCGCTCTACCACTTGAGCTACAGCGCCACTACCGGTTTTCTGGTGGTTTATTGGAGATAGGAGTCTCACAGTCTCTCCTGCCCGGGCTGGCTTTGAACCGTGATCCTCAGATCTCAGCCTCCTGAGTAGCTAGGATTACAGGCGTGAGCCACCAGCACCCGGCCAAAAAATTAATTTTTAAGGAGCAGTTTTCACATGATTCTTTTTCCCCAGATCAAAACTTCTTTTATTAAAAAGTTTATTTATTGAGGAATAAAAAAGAATGATTGGATTATACAATATTAATTGTATAATACATTCTCATATATTAACTGTATAACACATTAATTTTTCTACAGGAAATTGAGGGAAATGAGTGGGGTTGTTTCTGAAAACCTATTTAAAGAATAAATTTGTAGTATGTTCTGTTCAAGTGCTGTGCCTTATTTCAGAAACATTACATGAAGACCTGCTTATGCCGGTGAGTCAGTGGTGGGCACAGAGCCTCTCAATATTTTTCCACTTAGAGTTTTTAAAATATTCTGTGAGAAATACTTGACTATCTTTTTACAGAAAGTCTTGAGAATGTTCTGTTTTCTCACAGTTTCTTAGAATAAATTCTGTACGAGGCTGAGGCCAGATCTGGAGATGTGGAGCCTTATTTTGTGCAGTGGTGTAGAGTTCATTGTAACTCTGTGATGAGGATGGTTGAGCGGCGACAGCAGCTTGCACTTGACTGATGGGGCTGCTTATAGCTCCCCAGGCCATTTCACCTGATTCTTCCTAGCAGAGAGAGAGAGAGAGAGAGAGAGAGAGACAGTGTGTGTGTGTGTGTGATGCTCTCGCTGTTCCCATTTCCTGGATGAGGACACTGGCTCAGAGCATGTCTGTCAGTCACATGATAGCAGAGACTACATTGTGGTTTTCTCCCTAGTACCTAAGATAAGGCTTAAGTTTTTTTGTTTTTTTTTTTTGGTTTTTTTTTTTTTTTTTGGGTCCAGTCGTGGGGCCTGAACTCTGGGCCTGGGCGCTGTCCCTCAGCTCTTCAGCTCAAGGCTAGCGTTCTACCACTTGAGCCACAGTGCCACTTCCGGCTTTTTGCTTATGTGGTGCTGAGGAATCGAACCCAGGGCCTCAGGCATGCAAGGCAAGCGCTCTACCACTGAGCCACCTTCCCAGCCCAAGGCTTAAGTTTTTTGAGCCAGGCAGTCTAATTGCAGTCTGGGTTTTGAGGGTTACCATGTAGCTTTTGCGATGTTATCTTTGGAAGTTATAAACACTGTGGTGTGGGATAACCACTGAGTTGGCTTGTCAGCTCTGAAGCTCATGTGTGTGGTATAGGAGGCCTTGTCAGAGCTCTGAAACTTGTGTGTGTGGTGTAGGATGCCTTGTCACCATCACCGCTGATGTGGTACACACAGTAGAGCCCAGACCATTTTCTTGAGGTGACTAAGGAACAAGTTGCCTTACTATTTAGGACGTATTTTAGGAAATTTAAGTGACTCACTGTCTTATTTTGTCCTTTTCCTTAACCGGTTAAAGGCCTGGGTAGTTGTAGGGTAATGCATTTCATGATTGAGTGAAGGCGTGAACTACATTTACAAGCCATAGTGTTCTGTCGTTAGACCTGTCTCAGACCTGGGGACAGTCTGTGTCCCTCTCTCCTGTGAGCTCTTCCCTTTGGCAGCTCAGACTATTCCAGCATTCTCTGTCTTGCCTTCCCTGGCTGACAAGATTGGTTGAACAGTCCTCATATCAATAGAATCTAAAAGAAGGAATGAAAGTCATGCTCTCCTTGATATCCACTAGAGTGGTTTGAGAAAGTCTGATGTTTTCTCGGTAATTTATGGGACTTGTTGCTTGAAAACCACAGATAAGGCCAACTGTAGCCCTACCTATAACTATGGGATGGTCCAGCGTTGCTTTTTCAGTACACACAGCTGGGCTGGCACTGTTGACTGCAGTGAATTCAGTCAGGTTGATCCATGAGAAATTGCCATTTTGTATGTTGAAAATACAAAAATAGTAGAAATTTGACATGGCAAAACCTAATCAAAGGGGAAAATATTGAATAGCTGCTTTTCTAAGTATCTAGTGTTAGGAGTGGAAGGCTGGAGTCCACTGCTCAACTCCGTGTGTACACATTCTATGCTGGGCTTAACAGAGCAGGTGGAGTGTCAGCACACACATGTATGTACCAACACTGTGTCCACATTACGTGGTGTAAATATGGCTTCCTGTGTCCCGTTTGATGGCCCAGTCTGTGCCTCCAGTGCTGGAGAGTGAGGATCAGTCCAGCCGCTGGCTTTGGGAGTCTTGCATAGGCTGTTCTTCCTAGCCTGCCAACACTGTGCCAGAGCCATCTGGCAGCATTCATTAAAAATAGCTATTACTGGATCTTCCCCCAGAACTGCTAAGTCAGAATATCTGGGGATAAGGTTTAGAAAACCACAGTTTAAACAAGCTTTCCAGACAGTTCTTGGATCACTCAGATTTAAAGAATGGCTATAATGATGAAATGGAAAAGAACACAGCCCTGACTCTGTGTGTGTGTGTATTTATTGTTAACTATATATTTAAGGTACTTCAGCAGAGCTGGATTGGTGGCACATGCCAGTAATCCCAATATTCAGGAGTTGGAAGTAGGAGAATCACCATCCTGGTGACAATGAGACTCCATTTCAAAACAAGGGCTTAGAGTGTGGCTTAGTGGTACAGCACTTCTGTAGTATGTGCAAGGCCCTCGCTTCAGTCCCCAGCACCTACATAAATAAATGAACTTTGATAATGTGCTGATGAGAATCACAAATAAGGCAGTCCCAGAAACTAGCCTGGACCAGTGAACAAGAAAGCAAAGTCACCAAAACTAAGCCCAGCCTGGGTCCTTAGTTAGTGACTTTGGACACCTAGTAGAGCACAGGGAAGTGGGTTAGGGAAGTAGTTGGATTAGTAGTGACATTGTGAAGGATGCCGTGCTGCAGGTGTCTGTTCTCCCTTTTTAATGACCCCTGGTCTTGTGCCCATTGGGTGCAGAGCAACCACAGTGTGTTACCCACTTCCCCCTAATGTGTCTGTAAATTCCATAGTGAGCAAAGATGTTAGAATAGTGTGGTTCCATTCCATCTATCCAGGTTGCTTTGTCTTGGGGCTCTTATGGTCCCTACTTCTGAATTGCTTTGGTTTCTGACATTGCAATTCCCTTTCCTGACCTACAGTCAATTTATGAGTTCTCACTGGCATTCTAGTAAGTTCCATTTTGCTTAAATTAGCTAGAATGAATCTGTTCTCTGAATCTATTCTCTGAAGTCTGGGAACTATTGACTAGCTAGTGACTATCATGAGGAGCGAAGGAACATTTGCCATGAAGGGAAAGAGTCCCCAAAGCCGGAGACCCATGAGTGAGGCTTTGGAGAAACCCTGCACTTTCTGGGAAGAGAGTGAAGTTGGAGGCCATCCTCAAAATGGAGGCGGTAGGGAGAACAGCAGGGCCAGCCTGTGGCTGGGACTTCTGGAAGCAGCAGTTGAGGAAAGTAGAGGAAGGTCAAGAAACTGTCTCCTGAGAACCCTAGATAGGACTTTGTATATTGGAAAGTCAAATCTAGCCTTGGGTTCGTCTATTTTGTATGCTTTTATATTTTACTTTTTCTTTATTGTTATGTTACATTGTTGTGTGTTTTGTTGTTAAAGGACCAGGCTGACCTCTTAACTGCTGGTGTGTACTGCTCTCACACACAGTTTGAACTGATCTTGGTGTTTCAGCCCTCCTTTGCACTCTGCCATTGGGAGTACTCCTCTGCTCTCTCTCCTGGAGCCTGCAGACATACCCTTCTTGCTTCCCATAGCCCAGACACTCATTTCTCTCACCACCTTTCTGTCTTGCAGCATTCTTGTTCACTGCCCCACCATCATTACTTCCCTGGTTTCTAAAGGATTTATTTGTTTAGACAGGCACTTGTTATTTATTTACATAGACAGGCTCTTGCTATGTATTCCAAGCTGAGCTGGACTTCAAGACCCTCTTGTGTCAGTTTCTTCAGTGCTTTTATCATTATGTGTATCACCATGCCTGACCCAATATTTACTTTTGAAAAAAAATGGTTTTTTTTTTTTCTTAAATTTTACTAGGGATTGAACTCAGGGCCTTGTAGGTACCACTGAGCTACATCACTAACCCCTTGAAGAAGTCTTAGCAAACTTCCTTTTGACAGTTTTGAAGGAGGAGAGAGATTGAAAAAGATTTGGTTCATTCCTATTTTGTATGCTCTTAGGGAAATGGGAGAGGGAATAGATTGAGAAAGATTTAATCTACTCCTAATTGGATGGTCTTAAAGAATGGCGGGCCAGTGGGGAGGGGAGACTGGAGAAGGTTTCATCCACTCCCAGATTGTCACAGCCTGGAAACCTGATCATTGTTACCTGGATGAAAGCAGGGTTTTAGTGTTTCAGTTGATTTTACTATAGAGTCTGAGTTGAGTGGGTGGTAGCAGGGCAGAAAGGAATCACAGGTGAGAGGTGATAGGAAGAGATCCTTTCTTGCGCCATATAGAAGAAGGACCTCTCCCAAGAAGAATCTTCTCTGTATAGAAAAAGGAAGCTGAGGGGCTGGGAAGGTGGCTCAGTGGTAGAGCGCTTGCCTTGCATGCATGAGGCCCTGGGTTTGATTCCTCAACACCACATAAGCAAAAAGAAAAAAGCCAGAAGTGGCACTGTGGCTCAAGAGGTAGAGTGCTAGCCTTGAGCTGAAGAGCTGAGGGACAGCGCCCAGGCCCAGAGTTCAGGCCCCACGACCGGACCCAAAAAAATAATAAATAAAATTTAAAAAAAAATAAAAAAAAAGAAGAAGGAAGCTGAGTTGAGGATATCCAAGGGGATGGAGTTGTATGTATAGTTATGGGATGTGACTCCATATAATACTAAGCCAATCAGGACTGGAATTTTCCCATTTATGTCTCCTAGGTAGCTAGGTAATAGGTATCAATTATCTCATCAATTTTTTTTTCAATAATTGTTTGAGATGGGGTCTTGTTAACTCTTTGCTAGGGCTAGTCTCAAGCTTCCATCCTCCTTTCTGTCTTCTGAATAGCTAACGATGATGTGCTTGAGCTGCTAGCTGGCTGATAGAGCCATTTGAAAGAGCTATTCTTAAGCCAGACACCCACAGCTTATGCCTGTGTTCCTAACTACTGGTTCATAGCCAGCCTGGGCAGGAATGTCTGTGAGACTCTCCAGTTAATCAGCAAAAAGCCAGGAGTAGAGTTGTGGCTCAAGTGGTAGAGCACTAGCCTTGAGTGAAATAGCTCAGGAACAGCTACCAGGTTTGGATTGTAAGCTCCAGGACCAGAAAACAAAACAAAAAATCCTTCTTACATATGTGGATCTTTAAAACAGGCAGGCCAACTTTGGCCTCAGAAACCATCATGTGTAGAGCCCTGTTCCAGAGCAGCGGTAGAATGAACCTGCTGTGGTGATGAGGCCTGCTTTCTGGCCTGCTTTCTCCCATGTCAGCGGCCTCATGTGGTGGTGGCACTCACACTGTGTCCTGTATGCCTGAGGAACTAAATGTCTAACATTATTTCATTTTAATGTGAACTTGCTTTCATTTGAAGCAGCTAGTGGGTACCATGTGCAGCACAGATCTGCAGAAGTCTTGTGCTTGTGCACAGGAGGCATGGACAGAAATATTTATCACAGCATTGTTCATTAACAGAAAAGAATCTACACAATAGGAAATGATTACAGTAATAGCCAAGCTTGTTGAGTATGTTCTTTATGCCAGGCAATGTTTTAAGCACTCAACAGTGTAGTAGTAAAACTGAGTAAGCCATACCTATATAGATCAGGAAGGGTGAATAAACCTTAGAAACAAGGAAAAGGCAAGTCACAAAAGTTGCATATCAGCTGGGTCTCAGTGGCTCATGCCTGTAGTTCTAGCTACTCAGGGCTGCAATATGAGGATCATGGTTCAAAGCCAGCCTGGGCAGGAAAGTCTGACCCTCTAATCTCCAATTAACCACCAGGAAACCAAAGTGGTAGAGCACTGGCCTTGAACAAAAGAGCTCAGAGAGAGTGCCCAGGCCATGACTTCAGGCCCTATGACTGACCATAAAGAAAAAAGAAAAAGAAAAAACACTTGCATGTCATGAGATGCTGCTTTTTAAATCTTGAAAACAAGCAAAATGAAACTCTTGTCCAAAAGAGATGCCTGGTAAAAGGAAGGGAATTCAAGCACTGCTACCTTTGGGGGAGAGGAGGTGGCATGAATGTGTCTCTGAAAGGCCAGGAGACTTGATATGTTGTCTCTCCTCTGTGGCAGTCACCAGGTGCCCAGTAGGATTTCTGTTGAGTTCGTAGAATAGTGTTTCACAGAGAAAAGCAGTGGCCATTGGAGCATCACTGCAGATCAGATAGTTTTGACCTGGTTTGTGTTCATGTTTAAGCCAATGTTTTGGCTAAGAGAGATTTATAATTTTTGCCCTGGTTGGGTATTTTAGATTAGGAAACATTGTTATTAATAAGAACCAAGTATTAAAACCTTTCCCTCCAAACTTTTGTTTCATTAACTCTAATGATGAGTTGAATATTAACACAGTCTAGCCAAGAGAACTTCATTTAAAAATAAAAAGACATTAGTTTACTTATTGACATCAAAGTATTCATTAAAGGGAAAATCTTTTTTGCGGGGGGGGGGTGGAGGTCCGGTCATGGGGCCTGAACTCTGGGCCTGGGCGCTGTCCCTCAGCTCTTCAGCTCAAGGCAAGGGCTCTACCACTTGAGCCACAGCGCCACTTCCGGCTTTTTTTCCTTTTGCTTATGTGGTGCTGAGGAATTGAACCCAGGGCCTCATGCATTCAAGACAAGTGCTCTACCACTGAGCCACCTTCCCAGCCCAAAGGGAAAATCTTATAGGAGTTAGGAAACCTAATAGCAGTCACAATGCACCCCTAGTTAATAAAACTCGAAGTTGAGAGTAGCTCATGGTGAGCCAAGATTCAGTCACTATGCACCTGACTCAGTTACAGCAGTTCTAATAGCTGATTGCTGAGTGTGGGGTTGTTATGTCAAGCTGTTCTATGTAATATGCGCATCTGACTTTATTTCCTTGTTGTTCCATCTTCACTCTTTCCTGAATTACTGACATGGGTTTGTTTATCTTTTCTCCCTTTAGAGAGTTTTGAGGTGACAGTCACCAAAGAAGGTGATCAAGGGTTCTTTGTCTCCCTCTTATGAGTATTAACCCACTAACTTGTTTATAAAATTGGGAATCAGCCCCTAAACAGAAGCAACTGTCATGCTCTTTTACCCTCATTTATTCTCCTACTTTGTTTCTGGTTTTTAAAAATGTATTGATGGAAATTGTATGTAACCAGACCCCTTGGTTAGAAATATCTAGAAATCAGACATCCATTTGAACCACATTGACAATACCATACATTTTTGTTTAATTGAACTTTAGAGATTTGCATTGTTGTAATTTCTTATTCATTAGAATTGTTGAAGAGTTGAGTCAATTTAAATTTTGTAAAGTTTCATATATGCAGCAAAATATTTGTGCTTGTTGTCCCATGGGCAAGAATAGAAACATAGATTTTTTTTTTTTAGCTTCTATTTAAGCTTCTGTGATCATTTAGCTATAGTGAAGTGTCTCTCAGGTTTGATAAAGCCCAAAACTAAGGGAAGACTAGAAAATCTCTCCCATACCAGACACTGGATGGCAGTTGTTGAAATGGATGCCTGAAAAGTTGGTATTTCTACCTTTCTCATTTAGCAGTTTGTTTTGATTCCCTAATTTTAGCCAGGCTCATTGCACAGGAAGACTTGATTCTTTTGATTTTTTTTTTTTGACAGAATTTCTGTAATTACGGTGCTGGTCCTATATCTCACGCTTCTTCCTCTCTCAACACTTAACTGCGTTTTATCTTCTCTCTGATCCAAACCCAAAGAACTGCCCGGCCCTCTGGTGGCCAGGGCAGCCTGGTGTGCTCAGGCCTTGGCTGTTTGCTAATGAGACTCCTTTTACCCTCAAGCGATCCTAAGTGCTCCTGTGGAATGCCTGTCTATGTCTTCTCTCTCTTTCTGTCTTTTGTATTCCTGCATGAATGGATGCAAAGTAAACAAGTTGCTTGGAAAGCCAGAATCTGCTTCTTTTTACTAAAGTCCCAGAACTCACCCATGTGAAAGCACAGTGCCCCTGCTTTGTCCACGGACCCTCTAAACCCCTGGCTGCCAAATTGTTGTTGTTTATTTTCTTTGGGAGGGGGGGTTATGTGGTGACTTTAGACAGTAGTCATTGTAACCTGTTGTGCTTTGACTCCCCAGGTGAGATCTGTGGCTTTAAAATTCATGGGCAGAATGTCCCTTTTGATGCAGTGGTAGTGGATAAGTCCACGGGTGAGGGGATAATTCGTTCAAAAGAGAAACTGGACTGTGAGCTGCAGAAAGACTACACATTCACCATCCAGGCCTATGACTGCGGGAAGGGACCGGATGGCACCGGCGTGAAGAAATCTCACAAGTAAGCAAGCTGGGCAGAGAGCAAAAGGAGCCCCTGAGTAAACACATTTGCATGTGAAGGAAATGGCAGTGACCATTCCCATCCTTCACACTGCATTTTGATTGTTTGTTTGGTTGGTTTTTTGGGGGTCCGGTCGTGGGGCCTGAACTCTGGGCCTGGGCGCTGTCCCTCAGCTCAAGGCTAACGCTCTACCACTTGAGCCACAGCGCCACTTACGGCTTTTTTCTTTTTTGCTTATGTGGTGCTGAGGAATCGAACCCAGGGCCTCAAGCATGCAAGGCAAAGTGCTCTACCACTGAGCCACCTTCCCAGCCCTCACACTGCATTTTGAAATTGGAGGCAGAGATGTTCTTTTCTCAAGGGCCCACAGTTGTGGTCTTTCAGGGCAGGAACTCAGTGGGTGTGGCTCCCAGCAAAGACCTGGCTTGTGGTAGGTTTTGAACAAAAATAAGTGAATAATTTTGTCTCACAGAATACTCTGGTAAATAAACTATACCCTACTGTGACCATTCAGAAAGCCCATTTGCCCTGAGGAAGGTTTTGTTGTTGTATTTCTCTTCCTGTTAATCCTGAGGCATAGGATAGGGAGCGCTGGAAGATGCGTATGTCTGGGTACCTCCCACCATCTGGAGCACACGGTAACAGAGAGGGCTCTGGACCAAGGCACTTTTAGAATGCTAGCCTTTCTCGTTTACTAGTCCATTGACATTAGGCCTCAGTTTCTCCTTACTACATCTAAGGAAAGAGGGGTATGTATGGTCTTGTTTGAGATGAGATGAACAGTGTGGGGAACTATGTACCAGTGAATTACTCCTTACTTTTTTGTACAATGTGATATTGCTTTTTCCTAATGGGGGGAAAAAAAAGATTTGCTAGGGCTGGGATGTAGCTCAGTGGCAAAGTGCTTGCCTTGAAGGGCAACATCCTGGGGTTTGATCACTCATACCAAAAAAGAAAAAAAAGTACAGTCAAAAACAATAAACCCAAGCTGGGCACTGGTGGCTCAAACCTGTAATCCTAGCTACTCAGGAGGCTGAAATCTCAGGATTGAGGTTCAAAGCTAGCCCTGGTAGGAAATTCGGTGAGATTCTGATCTCCATTTAACTACTAGAAAACCAGAAATGGAGCTGTGGCTCAAAGTGGTAGAGTGCTAGCCTTGAGCAAAAGAACTTAAGGACAGTGTCCAGCCCCTGAGTTTGAGCCCCACAACCTACAAATGCCTCCCCTCACCCCTTCCCCTCCAAAAACGAAAAAAGATTTGCTAGACAAGCTATCTACTATTGAATGCTCTCTCTGTCTCTCTCGGTCTCCCTTTTCTTCCTTCTCCCCTCCCTTCTTACAGTCTGGGCCACCATCCTGATCCTATTTTAACTTTCTGTTGTCTCTCATACCAAATTTAAAATAATGAAGTTTGGTTTTATTTCTTGTCCCTATCGTAAGTGTTTCAGGAGACAATGTACCAGAAAAAGGAAATTTAGAAATAGGACAAAATTGTTGTTTGGGTAAAAAGCTAAAACAAAATCCCCAAAACAGTTTTTTCCCCTTCGTCCAGAGCAACTGTCCATATCCAGGTGAATGATGTGAACGAGTATGCGCCCGTGTTTAAGGAGAAGTCCTACAAAGCGACTGTTGTGGAGGGGAAGCAGTATGGCAGCATCCTGAGGGTGGAGGCTGTGGATGCAGACTGTTCCCCTCAGTTCAGCCAGATCTGCAGCTATGAGATCATCACTCCGGACGTGCCGTTTACTGTGGACAAAGATGGTAAGGCCATCTCCTAGCAATCTGACCCCTCAAACCCCCTGTCAGCTCTGAACCCTAGTTTATCAGTTTTCTCAGTAGCAGTGAAGTTTACTGGTTGGCTGGAGACCTGCCTGGGTGTGTGCATTTCACGTTTGAGTCTTCACCCTGACCTGACCTGATTGCTTCTCTGGAACCCAGAGTTCGGAGTCCCCTTGAGCTCCTACCCAAATCAGACACCTTCACCCAGCATGCTTCCTCGCCGTCTTCTCACTTCCCCTCTACGTGCATCTGAATGAGGTGGACCTGTACTCTTGTTTCCTTTCTTCAACTAGAATCTCTTGCCTCTTTCACTTCTTCAGTTCTAAGACAACAAAAGTTAAGTCAGTTCTTATTGTCGGTTTTCCTCCTCTTCCAGGTTATATAAAAAACACAGAGAAGCTAAACTATGGGAAAGAGCATCAGTACAAGCTGACAGTCACTGCATATGACTGTGGGAAGAAGAGAGCCACAGAAGATGTCCTGGTGAAGATCAGCATCAAGCCCACCTGCACTCCTGGGTGGCAAGGTGAGTTGCAGTGTCTCTTTAGTCTCATATCTGTTCTGAAACTTTAGTGTTTCTGAAATCTTAGTGTTCTAAAACCTTAGTGTGCGTTTTCCTTTTCCCCCCATGCTAACCTGTGGGCCAACACAGGCTGGAGCAATAGGATTGAGTATGAGCCTGGCACAGGAGCTTTGGCTGTCTTCCCAAACATCCACCTGGAGACATGTGATGAGCCAGTTGCTTCGGTTCAGGCCACAGTGGAATTGGAGACCAGCCACATAGGGAAAGGCTGTGACCGAGATACCTACTCTGAGAAATCCCTTCACCGGCTCTGTGGTAAGTTTAGCTGGCTTTCCTCAGCCTGTAAAGTCTTCAGGGGAGGGAAGGGAGACTGTCAGAGCCAGAAGCGTGTATGTTTTTTGTGTGCGTTTCTTCATGTGCATCATAAACCGAAGGGACATCCTCGTTCTGACGCTTTTGCGCCTTACTGGCTGCTTACCTTGAATGGGCTTCAGGGAGTTCATAAACCTCTGAAATCAATTGCAAGTGGTATCTGAAGAAATGTTAATGATAAAAATCACTACGTACAACTTAATATCAGTGGAAAATTAAATGCTACAATGAAATAACATATAAAATACTTCGTGAAAAAGCTTTGTAAAGTGTGAAGTAATAAATAATACAAATTTTTAAAAAATTAATCCAACTGGGTGCCTGTGGCTCATGTTTGTAATCCTAGCTACTAAAGGAGGCTGAGATCTGAGGATCCTGATTCAAAACCAGCCCAAGCAGAAAAGTCCCCCTGAGACTCTTATCTCCCATTAGCCATTCAAAAACCAGAAGTGGCACTGTGGCTAGCCTTGAGCAAAAGAAGCTCAGGGACAGCTCCCAGACCCTGAGTTCAAGCCCCACAACTGAATAAAATAAAATTAGTCCCTAGCTGGGTGTGATAGATCAAGCCTATAATCCAGCCATACAGTATCAGGTCATGTAAGGCTTATGAAATCATTTGGTGTATTTGATATTTTTTTGTATAAGTGTTCTGGTCTTGGAGCTTGAATGTAGGGCCTGTGCTTATCTATTTATTTATTTGTTTGTTTGTTTTTGTTCAAAGCTAGCACTTTACCACTTGAGCCACAGCACCACTTCCAGCTTTTTCTGTATGCATGGTACTAAGGAATTGAACCCAGGCCCTCATGCATGCTAGGCAAGCACTTTATCATTAAGCCACATTCCTAGCCCATGTATATTATTTTATGTAAATATGAAAAGGTGTTTAGGCATTATACCTTTGTGATTCTTTCCTAAGACTATCCTCTTTTGGTGTCACTATATGTGAGTATCTAGAATCCTGTGTAATTTGTCGTATCCCACTGCATTTTAGATCTGATTTCTACATATCAGAGAGAACATGAGCCATTTGTCTCTCTGATCTTGGCTTATCTAACTTGATTTGTTCTAGGTCTATTCATTTCCCTGCAAATGACATTATTTTATTCTTTCTAATGGCTGTGTAAAATTCCATTGTAAAATAAGTATTACATTTTTTGGATCTACTCATCTGTTGTGGGACATCTGGGTTGTTTCCATATCTTGGCTATTATACAGGAATGAACATGGATATGCAGGTGTCCTTATCCTGGCTCAGGGTATATGCCCAGGAGTGGTATGTCTGTGTCATAGGGAAGGTCTATGTGTAGGGCTTTTTTGTTTTGTTTTGTTTTGTCAGTTGTGGGGCTTGAACTCTGGGCCTGGACGCTGTCCCTCAGCTCTAGGCAAACACTCTACCACTTGAGCCACAGCACTACTACCATTTTTCTGATGGTTAATTGGAGATAAGAGTCTTACATACTTTCCTGAACTGGCTTTGAACTGCAATCCTCAGATCTCAGCCTCCTGAGTAGCTAGGGTTACAGGAGTAAGCCACCAGCACCTGGCTTAATTCCCTTATTTTTGAGGAAAAGTTAATTTGAAATAGTAAAGAGTAGCCCTGTGGTAGTATGGTAATACCCATCCTTTCATGTGGTTTTGAACCACTCCTCCATTGGGCGGGCATTGCTGTGGTTTCAGGGGCTGCTGCTGGCACGGCCGAGCTGCTTCCCTCTCCCAGCAGCTCCTTGAACTGGACCATCGGACTCCCTACCGACAATGGCCATGATAGCGACCAGGTATTCGAGTTCAATGGCACTCAGGCAGTGAGGATCCCAGATGGCATTGTGTCCCTCAACCCCAAAGAACCCTTTACAATTTCTGTGTGGATGCGGCATGGGCCTTTTGGCCGGAAGAAGGAGACAATTCTCTGCAGTTCAGACAAAACAGGTGGGTTATGTTTCTGTACACGATGTCATTTTTCAGTGTCCACAGGATAGTGGTGGAAGCAGGTGCCTTCAGCTTCCCAAAAGCCTCCTGTTGGTCTTTATTTTGTACTGGAGACTCAGTGTCCTAAGAGACATGGCATTCAGGAATTGATAAGTTTTATGCAGCAGTTATCGTGGGCCAAACTTGCCAGCTAAACCCAAGTGGGTTTGTTCTTAAACGCTGCCTTGTCCCAGCTGCAAGGTTCATTTATGCAGATAAAATTATGTCCTTAAGATCCATTAAGGAAATAGTTCTTATTCCTCCCTTGGGTCTTAAGTTGGCAATTTACCCATAGAAACTGTCTTTGCAGATATGAACCGACACCATTATTCACTCTATGTCCACGGGTGCAGGCTTATTTTCCTCCTCCGCCAGGATCCTTCTGAAGAAAAGAAATACAAACCTGCAGAATTCCACTGGAAGCTGAATCAGGTGAGCAGGTGCACCTTTGGCTCTTCAGGCTCTGTGGCCTTATGTGGATGATATATCACGGTGCCTGTCTGTGAGTCATAAGCCAACACATTCAATTTGCTGATGTCCTTCCACTGATAGTCTTTTTTTCCATGTGGGTATTTTATACATAAAATACAGATTAAAAATTATGTATCTTGGGGCTGGGAAGGTGGCTCAGTGGTAGAGCACTTGCCTTGCATGCATGAAGTCCTGGGTTCGATTCCTCAGCAACCACATAAGCAAAAAGCTGGAAGTGGTACTGTGGCTCAAGTGGTAGAGCGCTAGCTTTGAGCTGAAGAGCTGAGGGACAGCGCCCAGGCCCAGAGTTCAGGCCCCACAACTGGAACCCCCAAAAAAATTATGTATCTTAAACTCGAAATACTACTGCTTATTGCAGTAAGGACCATTTGCTTAAATATTAATTTATTCATTATGCCTCTGGCCTTGGGCTGAGTACTGCTGGACTGACTCTGCAGTTAAGGACAGAGTTTTAAAATTTCAAGAAGGGACTGGGAAGGTAGCTCAGTGGTAGAGCACTTGCCTTGCATGCATGAGGCCCTGGGTTCGATTCCTCAGCACCACATAAGCAAAAAGAAAAAAGCCGGAAGTGGCGCTGTGGCTCAAGTGGTAAAGCACTAGCCTTGAGCTGAAGAGCTGAGGGACAGCGCCCAAGCCCAGAATTCAGGCCCCACGACCGCACCAAAAAAAAACAAAACACATTATAAAATTTCAAGGAACCAGTAAACTTGACATCCTAGAAACACCACACAAGGTAGTTGATGGTTTTTTGTTTTTGTTTTGTCAGTTGTGGGACTTGAACTCTTGGGTGGGGCACTGTCTCTGAGCTCTTCAGTTCAAGGTGAACGCTGTACCACTTGAACCACAGTGCCACTTCCAGTTTTCTGGTGGTTAATTGGAGATAAGACTCTCAGGGACTTTCCTGCCCAGGCTGGCTTTGAACCATAATCCTCAGATCTCAGCCATTACAGGCGTGAGCCACTGGCACCTAGGCTACTTTATGGTTTTGACCTGAGATCACATTACATTTTTTTTAAATGATGTCATGTCTTTGCAAAGCTAATTTTCCTATAGTTGTCATAAGCACTGCCCTAGGCTGGGCAGATACCACATGAATAGAATGCATGGATTACAGGACGTGCAGGGATGGGGGGCCATAAACTAAGAGCCTTGTTAGAGTCAGATCATTTCTTCTCTTAGGATTTTGACAAGAATGGGATCTTTGGCATTAGCTTAATTTTATTTGGTTCTGGAGTGAGTGAACAAAAGGCATATTGTTTAGATGTGCCTATGTTGGCTAAAATGTAACATCTAAAGCAATTGCAAGGTAGATTTAAAACCCAAGCTAATGAATGAGAAGAGTATGTGATTGTAGTAAGGTGGGGTATCCAAAATTGGTTGTATTATCTCTTAGTGATGTGACTTTTTTTTTAAGTTTTAGCAAGGATTTATTTTTACTATAACAGGGCTAAAGTAGGGAAAATTAGAAAAAAGAAACATTTCCTGTTCCCCATGCAGGAAATTAGAGTGAAAGAGCCTTTTTTGGGGCCAGGCAGTGGTCTAATCCTAGCTACTGAGGAGGCTGAGATCTCAGGATCATGGTTCAAAGCCATCCATGACAGCAAAGACTATGAGACTGTTACTTCCAATTAACTATCACAAAAACAAAAACAGCAGAAGCGGAGCTATGGCTCAGAGATAGAGTGCTAGCCTTGAGTGAAAAAGCTCAAAAACAGCACTCAGGGCTGCTTGCTTTTGATAACCTTTTTTTTGGGGGGGCGGGTAACGGGGAGTCCATGGGGTTTGAACTCAGGGCCTCAGCTCTTCAGCTCAAGGCAAGCACTCTACCACTTGACACAGCACCACTTCTGGTTTTCTGGTATTTAATTGAAGACAAGAATCTTGTGGACTTTTCTGCCTGGGCTGTCTTTGAACCACAGTCCTCACATCTCAGCCCCTGAGTAGCAAGGATAACAGATATGAGCCTTCAGTGACTGGCTTCGTTAAATGTTTCTGTGTCTTCAGTTTCTTTGCTTGAATCAGGATCCAAATACAGATCGTACATGAAAATTGGTTGATAGATTATTCATGATACCCATTCACCACCGGGAAGGAATGCAGTACAATTTGAACTACAGTCTGACCTACTATGGGTTCTGACTTTTTTATGTGTGTATTATGTATTATGTATGTAGGTAACATATGTCCTGGGGATCCATCCAAGGGCCTTCCTTGTACATGTCACTGAGCTACTATGAGTTCCCCAGTAAATTCCTATTTCTATATCAACTTGAGGAAGAAATTGACAAATAGTGCACCTTATTTTGAGATCAGAGTTGCTTTTAATTTTGATTCAGAAGAAGAGTGTCTAGGTTATAATCTTAGCTACTCAGGAGGCTGAGATCCGAGGATCAAAGCCAGCTCAGGCAGGAAAGTCCATGAGACTCTTATCTCCAATAAACCACCAGAAAACTGGAAGTGGTGCTGTGGGTCAAGTGGTAAAGCGCTAGCCTTGAGCTGAAGAGCTAAGGGACAGTGCCCAGGCCCAGAGTTCAAGCCCCATGACAAAAAAAAAAAAGAATGTCTAGGTAGAAGTCTAAGTCAGCTGTTAGAAGTGAGTACCCAGCCTTCTGATTGAGGAACTTCCTGTGTCACACTGTTGGTGAAAAAGGACCATTTCCTGGGGTCCTGTCCTATGACCAGTGAGTGATGAGTGCTTGCCTGGTGTGAGATGTCCCGGTAACGATGGTGTTGATTTGTCCCTTTTTGGTGAGTTATGTTTGCAGAATACTTTTGTTGTTATATTTACTTTAAAATCTTGTTTTTAGGAAAGAGATGTGCATTTTGAGTAACTTGTTTTCCATTGTATTGTTCTCAGTGTTATATCTTTGGAAGGAAAGGCAGCTTGACTTTTCCTGCTTCTCTGCCTGGGTAGGTCTGTGATGAGGAATGGCACCACTTTGTCCTCAATGTAGAATTCCCAAGTGTGACTCTCTATGTGGATGGGGTTTCCCATGAGCCCTTCTCTGTGACTGAAGATTACCCACTTCACCCAACCAAGATAGAAACTCAGCTTGTAGTTGGTGCTTGCTGGCAAGGTAAGTCATTGGCCACTGTTTGCCGTTAAATAGTGTGTCTGTTATTGGACTCTCACATAATTTACCTTCATTTTATTGATCCTTTTTCTGTGCATAGCCTTTTTAGGACACTGATAGTGTCATATGGATGTAAGTCCGTCTATGGGCATTCAGTAAAGGTGTGTTATGGAGTAGAACATGCGACCATCTTTGACCTTTGAACCTGGGAAGGAGGGAGTGCTGCACAGAGGCAGCATGTGATTGAGGGAACTCATCTGTGCACTGAAGTTTACAAAGGGAAAGTCAGCAATCCTCCCAAAGGCTTCAGAGCTACACAGCTTATTAGGAACTGTCATACTTTTAGCACACTACAGAAACACAAGTGGGGAATATGGTCCCCACCACCAAAGCAAAGCACTGCTCCTTAGGGCTCTGCTGCTAAATGGCAGGCTGTGTGAATGCTATTCACTTTATATACATTATTTCCAGACATCCTTAGAGTCCTGTGTGTAGCCAAAGAAACGGAACTCAGAAATAGCGAGTCTGTGGTCACTTGGATGATGAATCACAAAGCTGGGACTAGAAACTGAAAAGCCAGTGCAGCCAGGATCCCTGCAGGATCCTACCAGACCAGCGGTTTGAACATTCCCTGTAGAATAGATTCTTGTCATTGATACCAAGAATCCATTCTGGTTACCCGGTAGAATCCTGGTTACCTGTGAAATCAAATCCACGGTGTTCTGTGAACAAGACAGGAACAGACTTTTTGGCAATGGTTGAGACCTGTACGCTGTCATGGTGTGATATAAAGTATCAGTGTGTTTGTACTGGTGATGGTGACTGCAAACACTGCCATGGTTTGTCATCTACATTTATGGCCAAAGGAGATGCTAAATATCTGAAGCTAGTGGAAGTAAGTATTAATTGTTCTCATCTAAGAGAACAGTGGAGCCCTCAGAATACCTGGAGGCTCATCATCATCCTTATTTTGACCCCATCTTCTGTCATTTCAAGGTGTCACCATCACTACCTGCGCTTATTCAGCAGTCCTTTTTAATATTATTTTCTCCCTCTGGAAACAAGTTGCTTTAGCTTGAATTAAAAAATTATGACTACTGAGACTTGGTGCCTCATGTAGGTAATCCCAGCTACCCAGGAGGTGGAGATCATTCTTTGAGACCAGCTTAGGCAAAAAGTTACTGTGACCCTACCTCAACAACTGGGTATGGTGGTCTCTGCCTGCGTCATAGGTAGAAGAGTTGTGGTCTGAGATTGGCTGGCTGTGTGCAAAAATGCCCTATCTGAAAAACAACTGAACCAAAAAGCATGACTCAAGTGGTAAAGCACCAAAGATAGTAAAGCAAGAAGAGCTGTGGGCATGGCTCAAATGGTAGAATACTTCCCAGTGAAGGGAAGAGGAGAGAGTAAAAGAAGGCAGATAGGGAGGGTGGAAGAAAGGAAGGGTTTTTTTTTGCACATGAGAAGTATATATTGGGTGAATCTTTTCAACAGATGCACAGATTTAGTTTTGGTTGGTGACACCTAACCATGAAAAAATGGGATGTGGAATCCAGCCATAAGAACTTAGGTAGGATATAGAAATTTTTTAGTTGCTATTCTTAAATTTTTTAATTCAGATTTACTGCCTACAATAAATAATTTCTGAATAGTATTTTTAAAATAAGAATAAGCTGGGCGCCGGTAGCTCATGCCTATAATCCTAGCTACTTAGGCACTCAGATCTGAGGATCGTGGTTCAAAGCCGGCCCAGGCAAGAAAGTCTGTAAGATTCTGATCTCCAGTTAACCACCAGAAAGCTAGAAGTGGCGGTCACCTTGAGCTGAAGAGCTGAGGGACAGGGCTCAGGTCCAGAGTTCAAGCCTACAACCGACCAAAAAAAAAAAAGAGGTACAAGTGTTAGCTTAAATAAACCTTTATATACTGGAGCTTCATGTTTTGGTTAAAATCAGCCATCATGTTCCACCCTGCCACTTTGGTTCCTGTTTATTCAGTGTTCTGCCATCAAATGGCAATTATTGTTCCTCTTCTCTCATCTCCTTTCACCTCAGCCAGAAAAATTGGCCTAAATTCCTAGACTAAATGAATACAAATTCATTCAACTTTGGTTAGCATGGAGGAGGGCGCCCTTTCCCTTCAGCGGATATGAGCCTCTTCCTAGCTAGTTCACTTGGGGAAGCCAGGCTACGGGCAGCAGCTGGGTTTCCATGGATGCAGTGTCAGCAGTAACCGTGTGCTAAGAAGGAATGGCAGTGGGTGTGGAAGTGGCACACCACTTTGCCTGGACACAGGTCTGACCTTGCCCAACGTGCATCCCACACTTACTGCACAGACGGTCTGAGCAGACTGTACAGCCATCACTGGGTAGCCACAAGAGGGGAGGATTTCCCCTACAGCATGGTCCAGAACTTGTTGATGATGTTGCCCACCAGCAGGGCTTCAGACTCAGCCTGATCCGCAGCTTCTACAGCTGAGGGGTGTGGGCCCACACTGAGATGTATTAATCTAGGTGAATTCCTTGACTGGTCAGTCTCCTCAGAGAAAGAACTTTAAAATGCTTTCATTTTTCTGTTGCTTAAAGCTCAGACAGGCAAACTTGTTTTTGAGTTTGCAAAATATGCAGATTCGCTGGGTGCTTGGGCTCACACTTGTAATCCTAGGTGCTCAGGAGATATGAGGATCATGGTTTGCATCTGGCCCTGGCAGAAAAGTCTGTGAAACTCTATCTCCAAAACACTACCCAGAAAAAGCCTGAAGTGGTGCAGTGGCTTAAGTGGTAGAATGCTAGCCTTGAGCAAAAAGAGGCTCAGGGACAGTGCCCAGGCCCTGAGTTCAAGCTTCAGGACAGGCCAGGGGTGGGGGGAGGGAGGGACAGGTGGAATATATGTATGTATGTATGCATATGTATATATATGTATGTATGTATGCATATATATATATATGCAGATTTGTATGTCTTCCTGTCATTAGGTGCTAGTGGCTCATGCCTGTTGTAATCCTAACTACTCAGGAGGCTGAAATCCAGAGGATTGCAGTCAGCATGGGTTCGAAAAGTCCATGAGACTCAACATACAAAACAACCAGCAAAAACAAGGACTAGAGATGTGGCTCAAGTAGTAGAACACCAGCCAAGCAAGAATAAGGCCCTCAATTCATACTCTAGTCCCACCAAAAAAATTGTTTGAAGGCAATGTTAGTCCAGATTTTGTATCTGGTCCAGTGCTGCAGTTAAAGCTAAACCTTTCTTCCAGTGTCCTGCTTTGATAGCCTAGATCACTGGAGTCAGTATGCATGCTTTTATTCACTTTATTTTGAAGCTACTTTATGTTCTGAAAGAGCATAAGAGAAGACAGAATAAAAAATACAAAAGAAGCGTGAGGTTTTAGATGCCCTTCTGGGGAAAGGTGATTGAGTACGAGTTTGCATCCCCATGGAACATGTCCCCAAGGACGACAAAAAAAAAAAAAAAGGAATTTCTTCTTTGAAAAATATTTGGGTTTCAAGTTTGGTTGCTTTAAAACTCATCTTTGCAGTCCAGTTTGAAGACCCTAACCTGTTGGTCCTTTTCTGTTGTCTTTGTCTTGCTTTTCCACAGAGTATTCAGGAGTTGAAAGTGACAATGAAACTGAGCCTGTGACTATGGCCTCTGCAGGTTGCTGGATTTTTCCCCCTATAGTTCACTACCGTGTTTCATTTAAAGATGAGACATCAATTCATTCCACACGTTGCATGGAATGCACGAGTTGCATTTTGGCCCTGGTACCCTCAGCTGCTTCCCTGCATTGCGCTTCCCCATCACCTCATGGGACTTCCTTTTCTGCCATTCTGAGCCTGCTGAAACAGGACAGAGGACTCATCATCCCATGTGTTCGTGGGGCCCTTAGTTCCTCACCGAGTCGCTCCGATCCCCCAGAACCCTTCCTGGCTCCTCGTGCCACTCATGCAGCCGAGCCACAAGACAGGGAAAGACTGGCTTCTAGATTTTCTGTTCTAATTGATACTTAGTTCTACACTGACATTTCCTAGACATTTCCATCCCTAGCAAAGACCATGTCCTATGCCCTTATCCAAATGAAGCATGTTCAGTTTTGGGCTCTTCCTTGTAGCCTGAAGGGCCATCCTCTGGGTATTTGTTTTCCTTATGGTATCTTCCCTTCTGTGAGAGAGATGATGGGCCTTGGAGAAGCAGTGGCTCCCTGGACATAGCGCGGAACAGGCTTTAGTGCAGTTGGTGACTTCACATCCCTGTGTTCCTGCCATGCTTGCATGGCTTCACCCGCAAGTGTTTCCAGAGTTAGGGAAAGCAGCCCACAGTGTGTGTGCTCAGTCCACCAGTGGCAGGGGCTGAAGAGGCTAGTGTTGGTAGGAAACGTTGCTGGAGTGATCTGTTCAAGGGAGTCCTCCATTGCCAGGGACTCTGGTAGGATCTCTGAGCTCCTGGGCTTTAGGTGAAGATCCCAGCTCCTCTTCTCCAGGCCATGTGCATGTTCATAAACGATTTAATTTCTTCATTGCGCTTCCATGTAGAGTACAGGGCTAACGGGACTTGGTTTGAACTAACCTGCATGTCCATCCATTGAGCTGCCACCACCAGTAACACTGCCTTGACGATGCGGGAGCATCTGCGCTGCGCGCCTCACTCCTCGCTTCTCCCTCTCTTCCGAAGGTGGCGACCTACACATGACACAGTTTTTCCGAGGCAACCTTGCTGGTCTAACAGTCCGTTCTGGGAAGCTGGCAGATAAGAAGGTGATTGACTGTCTGTATACCTGCAAGGAGGGGCTAGACCTCCAGGTCCCTGACGATGGCGGCCAAGGCGTGCAGGTAACACAGCATTCACGTACACAGCATGCACATGGGGAGATAATGGGATGAGAGGGTCATTGAGCTGGGTGTGTTTGCATCTTGGATGTTACCCTTGTGTAAGAGGGGCTCGTCTCACCTGCACTTTGCTTTCTCACATTAATTCAAATTGCTGCAGGCATGCTCTGCCACATGGGTGGCATCAGCTCTGCAGCTGGAACCTTGTTCTCTTCCCCTTTCCCCTCATTGGGCATAATTTCAGATCCAAGCAAGCCCCAGTCAGTCAGTATTGACCTTGGAGGGAGACGACATTGGAGAGTTGGACAAGGCCATGCAGCATGTGTCCTACCTTAACTCCAGGCAGTTCCCCACGCCTGGCATCCGAAGGCTCAGAATCACCAGCACTGTCAAGTATGTCTCCTCCTTTTATGCATGTTTTCACACAGTGAACCTTGAGAAGAAAATGTGCGCACTAGCTGGGTGCCTGTGGCTCATGACTATAATCCTAGCTACACAGGAGGCTGAGATCTGAGGATAGCAGTTCAAAGCCAACCTGGGAAGGAAAAGCCGTGAAACTCTTATCTCCAGTAAACCACCAGAAAACTGGAAGTGGCACTATGGCTCAAGAGGTAGAGCGCTGGCCTTGAGCTGAAGAGCTGAGGGACAGTGCCCAGGCCCCGAGTTCAAGCCCCATGACTGACCAAAAAAAAATGCACTTAGGCTTTGGGGGAAGGAGGGTTGTTTGTTTTTTGGCAGTACCAAAGTTTGAGCTCAGGGTCTCAGTTCTTGCTAGGCAAGTACCCTACTACTTGAGGCATAGCCCCAGCCCATCATTCAGACAGCAACTTGCACTTTTTGCCTGGGGCTAGCCTCTGACCATGATCCTGCGTGATCCTGCCTCACACTTAGGTTTTAAAGCATCCTTACTTCCTTTCTATAAGGAAAGGCAAGCCATCACTTGCTCCTGGGGGATTGAAAAACGCCTGTGGTCAGATTGAGAAATGCATTCCTGAGGGGAGGGGCCACAGTCTGTCCCCTCCAGGTACTGTGGAAGCCTGTGGTCCCACCTCCACAAACCCTTGCAGTTGCAGGTTGCAAAGCGCTGCCCCAGCCCTGACGGTCACCTCCCCTTCCCTCCTGCTTTTGGCTGGCAGGTGTTTTAACGAGGCCGCTTGCATTGAGGTCCCCCCAGTTGAAGGCTACGTGATGGTTTTGCAGCCTGAGGAACCCAAGATCAGCCTGAGCGGCATTCATCATTTTGCCCGAGCAGCTTCGGAGTTTGAGAGCTCAGAAGGGGTTTTCCTCTTCCCTGAGCTTCGGATCATCAGCACCATCACAAGAGAAGTGGAGCCCGAGGGGGATGGGGCCGAGGACCCCACAGGTGAGCGGGCTCTGCCTGGCCACGCCTGGCCCCAGCCAGAAACCCATTTGCTGCCACTTACATACCCAGCTCTTTTTCTCTGGGTTTTGGGGGGATTTTAATGTCTCAGTGCTGTGCCATGGATCTGTGTTCTAGAACCTGCTGGTGACTGGAGTCCTTATGATGTTTGCAAACCTCCCTGTGGATCCTTTCAACTTTTTCTGGGTGACATCAGGCTCTGAGGCCAGCCCAGATGGACATGATCCCCACTGTTCTTGCTTGGGACTCATCAAGTACCCCATTACTTACCAGTGCTAGGGATGACACCCAAGGACCTTGTGTGTGCTAAGTACATAATCTACTGAGCTGCACCCCCAGTTCTTGAGTCTTTCCTTCATCAGCCACTGGGTTCTTAGAAAGGCTTTGTTAGATTGTGCATGAGCCAGCTGTCCATTGTGTCCCGTGGCTTCTGAAAGTTTTGGTTGGACCTTTTTGAAACAGTTCAAGAGTCCCTGGTGTCTGAGGAAATTGTGCATGACCTGGATACCTGCGAGGTCACAGTGGAGGGGGAGGAGCTGAACCCCGAGCAGGAGAGCCTGGAGGTGGACATGGCCCGGCTGCAGCAGAAGGGCATTGAAGTGAGCCGCTCGGGCCTGGGTGTGGTCTTCACAGGTGAGACGCTGGTGTGGGCCAGAGTCCAGGAGCAGAAGGTGGAGGCTGCTGACCACTCACCCCTTCGGGACAGGGAGGGGAAGTAGGTACTGCTCTCCCAGGGTGGGGCTGAGGCACAGGGTGGCGCATTCCCTAGGCAGAAAAATGCCCCCACGGGCTTTACCTTTTTTCCCCACTCAGCCGCAAATGTGTTCCTACCATGGCTGATCAAGATGTCAGGCTTTGGCTGTCTGGGCCTTTGGGTCTGTAAATATAAGCTACTCGGCACAGTTCTCCCTTCTGCCCCATAGGTGTGGACACCATGGCCAGCTATGAGGAGCTCCTGCACCTCCTGCGCTATCGGAACTGGCATACCCGGTCCCTGCTTGACCGGAAGTTCAAGCTCATTTGCTCTGAGCTAAATGGCCGCTACCTCAGCAATGAGTTTAAGGTGGAGGTGAGTGCAGGGATCTCAGCGGGAGTTGGCACTGAATGTGCTATGCTAGGCCCCGTGTTTGCTAACTCCAGGTTTTTATTGTTGTTTGCTGGTACTCAGGGCCTTGCACTCTTGCTCAGCCTTCTTGCTCATTGAGTCACACCTCCAGCCCAGCTTTTTTACTGGTTAATTAGAGATGGACTCTCAAAGACTTTCCTGCCCAGGCTGACTTCAAGCCAAGATCCTCTGACCTCTTGAGGCCTCCTGAGTGGCTAGATTATTAATGCCTGGTTTTAGTGTGTTTGCGGTGGCTCTGCTACAGTTCAGGCTTGTGTTGCTGGCTTCAAGTGGTGGTTTCTTGGGATTTCACGTGAGAGAAAGACATGGGGACACCATTCTAGAAAGAACATCCTCCAGGGAGCCAAGGGGTGTTGGCCTTGTTGAGAGTCGAAGCAGGTCCCTGGCTGGCTGAGGTGCTGCTGCAGCCTCTGACAGCAGGCTGGCATTCACTCCGGCTGCTCTGTCACCAGGCTCTACCACAGCGTCTCCCTTGCTCACACCTCTGGTTTGGTGAATAGACTCAAAAGTTGTTCTTAGTGATGGACCATCTCTACTGTGACCTCAGTGGCAGCAGAAGGCTGAATTCCCAAGGCTGATGAGCATTTTATTTGAGCCAAGGGGTGATGGGTTTAGAAGGCAACAGGTAGTTGTGATTTGCTGTCTCTCATGTGGCCTGGCCTTTAGGGTAAAGGAAAAAGATGCTCTACGAGCAGAGCTTCCTCAGTGTCCCAGCATAGGACCTGCTTTGCTCACTGTGCTGTATGCAGTCGATGGATAAGACATGCTGGCCGCGCATGCGTAGGACAGCGATGGCTTCTCAGGGGTGTCATGCATCTCAGTATGACAGTGGTTTCTTTCTTTTTTTCTCCCCCCCCCTTTTTTTTGGACGGTCATGGGGCTTGAACTCTGGGCTTGGGCGCTGTCCCTGCACTCTTCAGCTCAAGGCGAGAACGCTGCCACTTTCGGTTATCAAGTGGTTTATTGGAGATAAGAGTCTCATGATGGTCTTTCCTGCCTGGCTTGGCTTTGAGCTGTGATCCTCAGATCTCAGCCTCCCGAGTAGCTAGGATTATAGGTGTGAGCCACTGGCGCCCAGCTTTGACAGTGGTTTCTAAGTTCAGTTGTGTGGCTTGAATTCTGGGCCTCATGCTTGCTAGGCAAGCATTCTACCACTTAAGCCACACCTCCAGCCCTTTTGCCTTATTTTTGGCTTTGGGTTCCACATTTCTGTCCAGGCTAGCCTAGATCCCTGTCCTGTTGCCTCTTCTTGTGTGACTTGGCTGGCAGGCATGAGCTAGTGCACTGGCCTCCGGTGCTTCACCCCCCACCCCCCGTTGTTGTTGTTGTTTTCTGGTCACAGATGGTAGTTTGTCTGTTCCCTTCATGGTCCAGGGACCATGCAGTGCAGCTTGCCAGCTGCTGACTCATGTTCATCCCTGGGACACGGGGGCGATGCTGGTCTCATTCAGCAGTGACTCCCTTTCTCTCCACCGCAGGTGAATGTGATCCACACGGCCAACCCTATGGAACATGCCAACCACATGGCTGCACAGCCACAGTTCGTTCACCCTGAGCATCGCTCCTTCGTGGACCTGTCAGGCCACAACCTGGCTAATCCTCACCCATTCGCAGGTAGGATAGTAGGGGAAGCTCTAGGAGCCCAAACACTGGCATCCACAGAGTGTCTAGGCAGACACCTCATCTCTGTGTCCTTGTTACTGTCACACAAGGACACAAAGCTCACCCGTAGCCACAGAGCAGATGTGAGAGTTGAGCCTTCTCTTGTATTCCGTCCTAGACGCTGAAGGTCGGGCGAGGCATCCCCCCCGGCCCATTTGACTTACCCTGCTGCCAGGGTTGCTTCACCTTCCGATCTCTTCACAGTTGTCCCCAGCACTGCCACGGTGGTGATTGTGGTGTGTGTCAGCTTCCTGGTTTTCATGATTATCCTGGGAGTGTTTCGGATCCGGGCCGCACATCAGCGCACCATGCGGGACCAGGACACGGGGAAGGAGAACGAGATGGACTGGGACGACTCCGCCTTGACTATAACTGTGAACCCCATGGAGGTAGGGGCGGGCGGGCTTGACTATAACTGTGAACCCCATGGAGGTAGGGGCGGGCGGGCTTGACTATAACTGTGAACCCCATGGAGGTAGGGGTGGACGGGCTGACGTGAGGCCTAGCCACGGCCCCTTGTCGTCCATGTGCCCGTGCCACATAGTTTGAGTAGCAGCTCTGCAAGGTTAGGGGTACTCCTCTTCACATGCGGGGCCCAAGGCTCGGTGGCCTGTAACAGGCCTCGCGGCCTGGTAAGCGCAGACACGCTCACACCGTGCTCATGGCTCACTGCTGCTCTATCCGCTGAAACAGTTCCCAGCAGGGAGCAAGGTACCGTCCCCGTGGAAGCGCTCCCCTGAATCACAGCCCCCCGCTGCCCCCGACCCCTGAAGCACAGCCCCCCCCCCACCAGCCCGTTTCACTGGAGAGTCCCAGGGCATTTCCCTTCCCTCGTGGCGAGGAAGCCATAAGCTGGACTTAACACTGCTGTTTGCTCGCCAGACATACGAGGACCAGCACAGCAGTGAGGAGGAAGAAGAGGAAGAGGAAGAGGAAGAGAGTGAGGATGGTGAGGAGGAAGAGGATATCACCAGTGCTGAGTCGGAGAGCAGCGAGGAGGAGGAGGGTGGCCCGGGAGATGGCCAGAACGCCACTCGGCAGCAGCAGCTGGAATGGGACGACTCCACACTGAGCTACTAGTGCGGCGCCGGCCCCGCCCTCCGCTTCCGCCGTCCTCCCTCCCCAGCCCAGCGGGCCCACGGTGTACAAAGTTACTTCGGCCAGCAGGTCTGCAGACCCTCCCCGTCGCTTGTCGTCGTCCGCGTGCTTGGTGTGTAGGACGTTAGGCTCCCGCCCTCTGCCTGCCCTCCGCCCAGTCACTCCGCCCGCTCTGCCAGGAGCTGGAGCCTCCTCCCTGGCTGCACCTTGCTGCCACGGGGGCCCCCCGCAATGCAGCAGCCCCGCGTGTGGCCAGAGCCCCCCGTGTGCTGGCGCCAAGCCACCGGCCCCTTCATCTCCAAGAAGCAGCAGTGACTTGGTGACAGGGTTAGACGTGCTCGCTCTCACCAGGTATCTGTTCTGTTCTTTTTTTTTTTTAAGAAAATTTTTATTTTTTCCAAACTAGTGCATGTACAAAATGGCAGAATGGGGGTTAATATGTAGATGACCAACTGACTTTTTAATATTTTGTAAATAAATAGGGATTCTATGTGTCCTTCGTGCTAGTGTAGTCCAGGAATGTAACGCTCAGAAAGCCAGGCGCAGGGGTCCCAGGGTCCCAGTCCCGCGCCAGGCCAGGCTGGAGAGGCCTGCCCACCGCCCCTCGCCAGGCTCCTTGTGTGGTCAGGGTCACAGGCTTGGGGTGCTGCTCAGGGGACTGGGGTCCCTCTTTGGAAGCTGGAGGTGGCCAGGGCCTTGGAATTCTACCTGTTTCTGGCTTGGCGTTGGGGGAGAGAGTGGCGCAGATCCTTGGCTTGTTACACACGCCTCCCTTGCCCGGCGCCCTCTGCATAGTAGCGTGGACTTGGTGTGCACAGCTGGTAGATGATGCTTTCCCTGCTGGCGCAGGTGTGCGTAGAGCCCACAGAGCACCGCATGTGCACACGCACTCCCTGGTCTGTTGGGAGTCAGAGCTGGCCTGAGAGATGTGCATTCTTCCAAAACGAGAGCCCGAGGCCTGAAGGCGGCGTGCTGGGGTCCCCACACAGCCCCGCCTGTTCTCCTCCTCCCCGGGCCGTATGGGACGCCCTACCACCCATCCGAGCGGTGGGGAAATCTGTACCCTGGTAGCCAGGAGCTTTGGGCTCAGTAGTTAGGTAAAAAGAGAGAAAGCAGTCAGATGTAAACGCATGCGCGCCTCGCACCGCCACAAGCGGGAGTCATTGTTGCACACCATCGGGGCCCTCGTGGCTAGTTTTGAGGACGCGGACAGCTGTGCTGTGATGTGTGTGGCCGCCCTTCTGTGTCCTGTCCTTGTAGCTGCTGTAGACGATGGAAAGATGCTGACGCAGAGCGGGATGTGCCCCTGTGTCCCCTTTCAGATGTGTATATTGATGCTAGGTGGGAAAGTGTATACACTACAATAAAACTGCGGTTCTAATCCAGCCTCACGGGCTGCTTTCTGTCTTGCTTCTATTTTAACCCTGTGTTCCCTTGTTGCTGGTGGAGCCAAGAACATAAGAACATAAAAGACTTTTATTTCTTTTCACCTGCCTTTACCACATTCGAGGTTTTACAGGCCCATTTCAGCCCACAGTATTGATACAGAACTTGCCTTCTCCATACAGAAACATGACATGACATGACTTAAAAAAATAGAAAATATTCTTCTCACCAGGCACACAGACTGTACACCCAACCCAGAAATGCCAGGGTTGTGCAGAATCTGCAGGCCGCATCAGGGAGCACCCAAACTTGAATAAATAACACGTACACGTACACGAGGCTTTTCCTGTCTCAAAGCAAGTGAGGTGTTCTGGGGAGATGCAGCACTGAGTTGGGGATCCGAGTATGGCCGCTGTGGACAAAGCAGGTACTCTGCAGTGATACCTGCTGGCACTCTGCTGGATCCCTGGCTCATCAAAATGGAGCTGGCCCTGGGCTCAAGCTGTGCGCCTGCGCCAAAGAGCAGGCGCTCTGAGCCCAGCAGTAAGCCAGCAGGTCCTGAGTCAGCTGCCAGTGCACCAGGAGCCCCACCAACGCATGTGTTTTGTCGGTAGTAGCACTGGGATGGAACCCAAGGCCTCGTGCCTGTTAAGCATGCTTTGGACTGGTGAACTGTGTTCTCAGCCCACTCCGGGCTTTTTGGATCCTAGGTTCAGCGCCTGTCAACAAGAGTGCATTTTGGAAGATTGAGCAGCCCAGCATCTGACCTTGTAAAGTGGCTGTGATCCAGCCCTTTGGGAAGCCCAAAGCTAGCCCTGAGCTGTGAACTGAGCACTTTGAGCGGAAATGATTCCACTCACCCTCAGGCCACCTTCCTGCCCAGCAGGGCCTCCGGTGCAGTCTGCGGTGGCTCACTTCTCAGTGCTCTGACTGGGGACACAGGACAGTGTCCCTGCCCTGCACAAGCATGCCTTTCTATTTATGGCTGTTTGTTCCTTAAAGGTTCTCAAAAGGTAGTAAATAGTGTAGAGAGATCCGGTTCTGTCCAGCCCCTCACTAAAGCCTGCCCGAGAGGCCATCGCCCAGCAGCCATCGCACAAAGGACTCCACTGTGGCTTCCGTTCACTTTGGTTTGTGACCAGGTGATCGAAATCCACCTCCAGGCTTGTCAGCAGGGCTGGCATGTATTATTACACTTGGTGGGAGCTTCATTGTCCCCAGCTGCAGAGGTTCTGCGAGAAGTTTGGCTGTTTCCTTACCCGCAAATAAAGAAGAGGGGGGCATCCCCATATCTGAGAATCATGTCATTTCTGCTGTGAAGAGCAGGTGTCCCTGAGTCTAGAGGGCTCCCCGCTTCCTCGGGAGCTGCCCAGAGCTTGGTCAGTGGGGGACACTGAGTGGGCCACACGAAGGTGGCTGCAGATGCGGTGTCCTGTCGGGATGGGAGGTACCGTGCGAGCGCCCAGGTCCAGGCCGTGCGCTGGGAGCCTGGGAAGGCTTCTCCCAGGAAGAGCGATCATGGCCGGGCTAAGATCTGGAAGACGGGGTGACCGTCCTCATCTGAGAGGAAGGGATACTGCCCCGCTTGAAGGTGGAGGCAGTGCCCCTCAGGGTGCGTGTCCGTTTATGGCTGTTCGTTCCTTAAACATTTGGAGTCAAATAAATAACCAGTGTAAACAAAAGGCAGTTGTGAGGTTCTTTCCTATGAGGTGCAATTCGGGCTTTTAGGCCCCTTTTAGATGGCTGGGGTTCCTCTCTCAAGTCCGGAGCTAGAGAGGCCCAGCGTGCGGCGGCCGGGCTGGGGCCGCTATTGCCTGTTGTCTTTGGACACGTTGTGGGCCATCCAGTTCACTTTGGTCTTCCAGCTCTCCCGCAGCGCTTCGTTGAACTTCACCCGGAAGTGCTTCAGTGCCTCCTCTTCCGTTTTCCCCAGGGCCAGAGAGTCCTGAGAGGAGTCAGCCGAGCATCAGTGTCCCCACGGATTCACAGACCCCCTAGGGGATGGGGGATTGGCTGAAGGGAGAGGGGGGAGCCCCCAGCTGACTCATCTCTGCACTGCCCTGGCTGGGTGACTGCCATAGGGTCTTGTCCTGACTTTGGGGGGGGAGAAGGAGGGGGGGCTTGGCCCCTCCCAGCACTCAAAGACTCAGACCTAGCTAGAAAGGAGCCATCTTGCAGATGCCAATGGAAACTTAGCCATGCAGCCCTGTGTACACCCAAAGGCACGCTGACCAAGGAAGGTCACAAGGCGGCTCATCTAACTGCAGCTCTCGGTGCAGCTCGCTTGGCGGCGCTGGCACTGAGCACACTCTGCTTCTGGAACGTGAACAGCACGAGGACCCCGCTGGCAGGAATACCGTCTGGGATCCTTCAGCCTCCAGAGGGCTTAGGCGTGGGAACCCTGCATGGCTGGCCCTGTTCTCTTGCCAGTCTGGTGCAACCCTGCCCGGCCCACCTTGAGATACTGGATGTCTTTGGAGCAGCTGAGCTCAGGCAGGCCTGCCGCCCGCATCAGAGCGAAGAGGTGGAGGAAGAGGAGCCCGTGGCGCCGCAGGATGCTGTAGGCTTTTTCACAGTAGCCCCGGAACCTGCGGCGGTGGAGGCAGCGCGCTGAGGTGAGGCCTTGCCTCCTCCCTGCTGCTCCGGCCCTGGGCTGGCACCTTGCCATGCAGCTGTCCTTACCCTGGTGCGCAGAGCCCTTGGCTCCTCCCGCTAAGCCCAGCTTGCTCCCCGAATGGCCCGGGGGCCACCCTTGGCCCCAAGAGGGCATCCAGGGCGGAGGCTCCTCTGAGAACAAGAGGGATACCCAGCGACCCACCGTAATGAAGAGCCAGGGCCCGGCGTGGAACCGAGGCTGAGACCTGTTACTGTCCTTTGCCCAGAAGCCTCTGTGCCCTCCCCCTGGGGGCCCTAGCCACCCTCACCTTTCAAATTTCTCACTGTTGTTCGTTCTCCCCTGCTGAATCACGTGGACAAAGTCATAGGTGAGGATGAACGGCACTCGCTCGCGGTTGATTCCAAACTTGGTCTTGAAATTCCCCAGAAAGTGGCCAAAATCTATGTGGAACAACTGAGGGAAAGCAAGAGAAAGGCACTGGAGCGGCATCGGGGGAGGGGGAGGGGGGAGAGGAGGGGGAGAAGAGGGAATGGCAGAGCAAGGACAGTGCCTCTGTCCAGATAGTCCCCGGGGAGAAAGGGAGCCGGCCGCGCTCAGGGACGCCTTCCGTGAAGCTGTGTGTCCTGACCCGGAACAGGCTACAGGGGCCGAAGGACAGGGCCGCAGGGCAGCTGCCGGCTCCGCCCCCTACCTGCCGGCTCCGCCCCCTACCTGCCGGCTCCGCCCCCTACCTGCCGGCTCCGCCCCCTACCTGCCAGCTCCGCCCCTTACCTGCCCGCTCCGCCCCCTACCTGCCCGCTCTCTCGGATCATGATGTTGTCACTGTGCCGGTCACCGATGCCCAACACGTAGGTGGCCACGCAGTAGCCAGCACAGGAGAGGGTGAACTCCTCGATGGCTCGATCCAGGGCCTCCCTGTGAGAAGATTGAAAGCTGTGACCACCCCATTGTGCAGCCCTGTCAGAGGAGGAGTCTTTCTCCCCCTTGTGATGCTTTTAATCAGTAGCACGTGGTGGGCACTATGCCCGAGCTTTGAGCCTAGGGATAGCTTGCAGATCTTGAAGCCCCCCACCCTGCCCATGGCCACCGTGTAGAGAAACTGAGGCTCGTGTACTCAATGGAAAGAGGCCACATAGGCAAAGCTGACAGGCATCTGACTGGTACCATCTTAGACCTCCAGGCTCGGGCAAAGTCCTGGGTGATAGCAGTTGTGTGATGCCGTTCCTGGCAAGGCCAGCAGAACCGTTCAGCTGAGCTCAGTGGGAAGCAGTGGTTGTTGTAAAGCTCTAAGCTTTGATTTTTTATTTTTTTGTTTTTTATTTTTGGGTCCAGTCGTGGGGCCTGAACTCTGGGCCTGGGCGCTGTCCCTCAGCTCTTCAGCTCAAGGCTAGCGCTCTACCGCTTGAGCCACAGCGCCACTTCCGGCTTTTTTCTTTTTGCTTATGTGGTGCTGAGGAATCAAACCCAGGGCCTCAAGCATGCAAGGCAAACGCTCTACCACTGAGCCACCTTCCCAGCCCAGGCCCTAAGCTTTGAATAGAATTGCACGGTCATCACTAACTGACCTGCCCCAACCCAGATAGGTTAGAACCTGCCTCAGCCTAGTAGCATGGAGATATACAAGGCCAGCCCTTCCCACAGCGCACCTCTCAGGAAAGACAGACCTACCCAGGGTTCTTGGACTTGAGCCAGTTGAGCAGGGCATCCTTGTTGAAGGCAGCCGTGGCTGCCATATTGCTTTTGTTCAGCTGGATGTTGGCTATGGTGTCCGAGTGGAGCACTACCTCGATGAGACCGGTACGGTCGCCGGTGGGGAGGCAGCCATAGGGGGTCATCCTACACGAGTGGGGGGTGGGGAGAGCGCCAAGGCCATGAGCGCTCATGGGCTCCTGCACCCCAGTGTGTGGCATACACAGAAAAATAATCACAGTGCTGGACGCCGGTGCTCATGCCTGTAATCCAAGCTGCTCTGAGGACTGGTTCAAAGCCAGCCCGGGCAGGAAAGTCCGTGAAATTGTTATCTCCAGTTAACCACCAGAAAACCGGAAGTGGCGCTGTGGCTCAAGTGGTAGCGCACTGGCCTTGATTGAGCTGAAGAACTCAGGGACAGTGCTCAGGCCCAGAGTTTGAGCCCCAAAACTGACAACAACAATAATAACAGGGAAGCTGGTCACTGGTGGCTCACGCCTGTGATCCCAACTACTCAGGAGGCTGAAGTCTAAGGATCATGGTTTAAAGCCAACCCAGGCAAGAAAGTCTGTGAGACTCTCGTCTTGAATTAACTATTAAAAGGCCGGAGCTATGGCTCAAAGCTCAGGGACAGTGCCCAGGCCCTGAGTTCTAGCCCCAGGGCAGGCATGCGCGCGCGCGCGCGCGCGCGTGTGTGTGTGTGTGTGTGTGTGTGTGTGTGTGTGCGCGCGCGCACACACACACACAGGAATAAATCACAGAGGGCACTGCTGCTCAAGCTGCTGAGGAGAGGAGAAGCACCAGGCTCCTTACTTCTGAGAGGCATCAGAACCTGCATCCAACATACACAACTCATCCCGGCTGAGCCTGTGTGGGGGCTGAAGCTAGGGGCTTGGAAGAAGAGGCTGCTGCCTCCCAAAGCAGTGGGGAAGCCCGGCACCACAGGAGGGAGGGAGGGAGGGAGGGAGGGAGGGAGGGAGACTGCCGCTCAGAAGCAGGGATGCCTCCGCCGCCGCCGCTGCCTCCGGCTGCCCTCCCAGACTCCCCTCTCCCAGCCAATGCCACGTGCCAACTCTGGCCATGTGCAGGTGCCTACCTCAGGTCTAGGCCCTCCTGCTTCCACAGGACATCCATGAGCTGGATCATCTGCAGGGTCAGCATGTCCTGGCGGAGGTCTGCAGGGGCCAAAGGAGGAAGAACACGAGTTTCTGGAGGGTTCTCCACTCCTGCGCTGCCTAGCCTCGAGTTCAGCTCCTTCCCCGGGGCCCCCAAGGGACAGGACGGGACAGAGGAGATGGGCTTGCCAAGATCTCAGCCGGTCTCCTGACCCATCTGACTCACCATCCCCATTCTTAAAGATGATGCCCACGTTGCCCGCGCTGCCCGCCTCCTCGTTGCTGTACATGATCCACAGGGGCTTCATCTTGGAGTCCATGAAGGTGCACTGCTCCACACTGCGGCCAGACACGGGACAGTTGGCAGGGGCTCACCCACAGGTCCCAGAGGCCCAGGTATGGGGGCTTCCCCATGGGAGGAGAGAGGCCTGGGTCTTACCAGACTTCCTCCAGCAGGGTGCTGGGGTCCAGCGGGGACTGCAGGTGGGAGAGGGCCTCCATGTAGGCGTCCTGGCGCATGCACAGGTGCATCAGTTCCTTGGTCTGGGGCTTGGTGGTCTTCTGCGAGCTCACCTTCACAAAGTCATTGAGCGCCTTCAGCTTGCTCAGTGCTTCCCCCTAGTGGGGACAGTGGAAGACAGCTTTGGCAGCTGGTTCTAGGGCGTGAAGCCCGCTGGGGCCGGGAGAGCGGAAGCCTCACCTGTTTCATCAGCACCTTCATGTGGTGGGTGCAGCCCCTGCAGTAGGCCTCCATGATGAGGCCGAAGCGCAGGGCCACGGATGGCACGTGCATCTCAGAGCTGGAGGAAAGGAAAACGGCTGAGTCTCACCAGGCAGAGCCACGCAGCCCCTCCCCAGCCCAGAGGAGACCCGGGGTGGGGTGGGAGGAGTCCTGGACGCCCAGGCCCAGGCCTGCTGGACACACAAGGTCCACAGGGCCTTCCTGGGAGGGTCCCAAGGAGCCAGCCAGAGTCTGTCCAGCTACCGAAGGTGCCAGAAGAGGAAGTGGCCGATCTTGCGGTTGGACAGGGCCCGGTCTAGCAGGAATTTGGTGAGCTCGCAGTCTAGGTAGGACTCATACTTGAGCACCTGTACCAGCTGCAGCAGGTAGTGGGAAAGCTCGTCATCCCTGCAGGGGAGGAAGGCCGGAGGTCTTGCAGCCGGAGGGCGAAGCCGGCCTGGACGGGAGCAAGGCCAGGTCCACCCCCACGCAGCACGCACGTCCAGCCGGCACTCACGTGAGTTTCCGGAGGGACTTGATGGCAAAGGAGCCCACGTGGCAGTCGGGGAAGCTGAAGTCCAGCAGCTCCAGGGCGCTCAGGACGGGCAGCTCGGGCCAGGAGCACAGCAGGTAGAGCATCTGGGGGGTGTGGGTGCTTGTGGTCAGGTGGTGGCCGGGTGGACACTGCCTGTCCATCCCCAGCTCTTCCCTCGGGCACGCCTGTCTGCCCACCTGGGCCACATCTTCGTGTTTGTTCCACTTGGTGACCAGCAGCAGGCGGGCCAGCGCCTCCGGGAAGCGCTCCAGGACTTCGTGCCTCAGTTTCCACACCAGGTCTTTCTCATGCTCGTACAGCTCCCCGGACCCCCGGCGCTCCAGGATTTCCCGCAGCTGCAGCTGCTGAAAGAGCAAAGGCCGTGAGGGCTCCAGCGGCCCCATCGCCACCCCCTGCCAGGACTCGCACTCACCTCCTCCTCGGTGGCACGCATCCGCTCCCCAGGGCGTCCCAGCTCCAGGATCTGCGACAAACCACGCAGCTCTCAGCACTGGGCCGCAGCACTGGGCGCCTGCACCCCGGCGCTGGGCCGCAGCACTGGGCGCCTGCACCCCGGCGCTGGGCCGCAGCACTGGGCGCCTGCACCCCGGCGCTGGGGCCACCGTTCTGCCTTGGATAGCAGCCCTCGCCTCTACCTCAGACGTGACCGCAGCCCCTCCCCCGGGCGTCCCAGCTCCAGGATCTGCGACAAACCACGCAGCTCTCAGCACTGGGCCGCAGCACTGGGCGCCTGCACCCCGGCGCTGGGCCGCAGCACTGGGCGCCTGCACCCCGGCGCTGGGCCGCAGCACTGGGCGCCTGCACCCGGGCGCTGGGGCCACCGTTCTGCCTTGGATAGCAGCCCTCGCCTCTACCTCAGACGTGACAGAAGCCCCTCTCCATGAACTGTGACAACCCACATGTCACTGGGCGCGACTCAGTGTTCCCCGTTTGGTGAAAGGCCCCGGATGGGCAGCGGCCACACATCCCGGCCTGGCTGGAGTCCGCTCCCCGCCAGCCTCTCACCTTCTCCAGGGCAGGGTAGTACACAGGGTGGGGCGACACCTCGGGCAAGCAGATGAGCAGCGTGGCGGCGCTCTCAGTGTTGGGGTTGCTGCGCACGGTGCCCACGGGGTTGAGCAGCTCTCCTTTCTCATCTGAGCGTGCGGACACATGGAGTTGTACCGGGCAGCGCTAGGCTCGCCCCGGCCCGCCCGCCCTCCAGCCTCCCGCCGGCCTGGCTCGGGGCCCACCTGGGACAGATGGCCACATGTACAGACAGTGCTCGCCCGTCTTCAGCTGGTTCTTGTAGTCAAACAGCATAAGGTTGGCCCAGGCAATGGGGCAGTCCTGAAGAAGGACACCCAGAAGTCGGGGCTGGCCGTGTGAGCCAACTCAGCTCAGCCAGGGGGGAGCAGCCTCGAGGCCAAACAGCAGAGAAGACCCCCATCCTCTGGGGTCCCTACTGAGCCCCCCAGGGAGAGGGACGACCCACTGACTCCCCTCCCTCCCTCCCTCCCCCTTCCCTTCTGTCCTTTTCCTCCCTCCTTCCTTCCTTTTTTTTATGCCAGTACTAAGGTTTGAACTCGAGGCCTAGGCACTGTCCCTCATTTTTTTATTCTTTCATGCAAGGCTGGCACCCTAGCAATGAATTACACCTCCACTTCTGAGTTTATGCTGATTAATTAAAGCTAAGAGTCTCACGGCCTTTCCTGTCCAGGCTGGCTTGGAACTGGGAGCCCCATATATACTACTTTAAAAAATATTTTTTGTGGGTCATTGGGCTTGAACTCTGGGCCTGGGCGCTGTCCTTCAGCTCTTCAGCTCAAGACTGGCACTCTACCACTTGAGCCACAGTGCCACCTGCGGTTTTCTGGTGGTTAATTTTCACAGACTTTCCTGCCTGGGCTGGCTTTGAACCATGATCCTTAAGACTCAGCCTCCTGAAAGGATTATAGGCATGAGCCAGCAGGCCCAGCTTGAGATCCTCACGTTAGCCTGCTGAGCAGCTGGGATTACAGGCATGAGCCACCAGTATAGTTCTGGCTTTGATTCCTCTTTCTTGTTGTGGTCCCAATGATGAAGCCAGCAAGGCCCCTTCAGCAATTGCCTGCTTTCCTGCTCCTGGCTGCTAGAGAAGGTCCTGAACCAGCTCCCCCAGCCGTGGTGTTGGCGCAGCTCACTTGGTCACAAGGTCAAGGGGCCAGGCATGCCCTGGGCCTGATGACTCAAGATTCAGCCACAGCCCAGCGGCAGCGGCTCACGCCTGTCATCCTAGCTACTCAGGAGGCTGAGATCTGAGGATCACGGTGTAAAGCCAGCTGAGGCAGGAAAGTCCGTGAGACTCTTATCTACCAATAAACCACCAGAAAACCGGAAGTGGTGCTGTGGCTCAAGTGGTAGGAGGCTAGCCTTGAGCGGAAGAGCTGAGGGACAGCGCCCAGGCCCAGAGTTCAAGCCTCATGACCGACCAAAAAAAAAGGAAAAAAAAACATTCAGCCACAGTCTCCATAGATGGCCACTCGCTGAGGCCCAGCTGCCCCCTGAAGACACCCGGAAGCAGTTCTGGGACACCACAGGCCCCGCCCTGCGTCAGCCTGCTCAGGACTTACTATTCAAGCAGAGCAAGACAGCAGGTTGCAGATAGGCAGGGGTGCTGGGGGGGGAGCGGGGGGGCGGGGGGGGGCTGCCCTGGCGGAAGCCCTGTCCTGGGGCCGCCGGTGTGAGGCGTAGCCCCCTCCCGGCCAGCCCTACCTACCGCCTTCTTGGACTTCTTCTTGGTGGAGCGAGCCTTCTTGGTCTTCTCCACCACGGCGTAGAGGGCGAAGCAGAGGCGGGCCATGCGGGGCAGGTCACACACGCTGATGTCAAACTCCAGCCGCTGCTGCCACACGGGCTCCGAGCTCACGCTCACCTCCGAGCTCGACACCGTTTTACACAACATCTCGCTGCCGTGGAAGAGCCCCGCCTGCACCACCAGCTGGGGGGGGAGGGGCGATGGGGCTGAGGCCCTGGGCCCCCCTCTCCTCAGGTCCCACCCATGAGTGAATCCCTTCCTCAAATAGCTTCATACTATGGGGGGGGGGGGGGCGGGTTTGAATTCAGAGCCTTGCACTTGTTAGGCAGATGCTCTACCACTTGAGCCATGCCTCTCGCCCTTCAAATGCCCTTGTTCTCACCGGGGTCTGGATCCCAAATTCCTACATGGAAGAAGAAGGTCCAGCAAAGCCCATGGGCTGTGGACGAGAGCGGGCCAGGTGTCAAAGCGGGGAGCCACTGCAGTGGAATGCGGGTAACCCCATCTCAGACCTGCGATCACTTTCCTCATTAAGGTTGGGTGACTGTAGGCGCCCTTCTGGCTCAAACACCCCCCAGCTCCCTCTTCTTAGGGTCTCCCCGCACCCAGCATGGGTAAGGAGGGCTTTCGCTGCGCTGCCCAGCCGCAGCAGCGCCTCCTCCACCCGACCCATGTCTCCTACCAGGCCTGCCCAGCCCTGGCCAGCTTGTAACATCATCCCAACCCGAAGTGACCAGGCCGGGCCCAGATGGCCCAGGTTGAGATCTGAGGATTGTAGTTTGAAGCCAGTCTGGGCAGGAAAGTCTGTGAGACTCTTCTCTCTATTCAACTACTGAATGTAGAGCTGTGGCTTAAGTGGTAGAACACTGGCCTCAATCAAAAGAAGCTCAGAGGGGCTGGGAAGGTGACTCTCTGGTAGAGTGCTTGCCTTGCATGCATGAGGCCCTGGGTTCGATTCCGCAGCACCACATAAGCAAAAAGAAAAAAGCCGGAAGTGACGCTGTGGCTCAAGTGGTAGAGTGCTACCCTTGAGCTGAAGAGCTGAGGGACAGCGCCAGACCCCCCCCCAAAAAAAAAGGAAGCTCAGAGACAGCACCTAGACCCTGACTGAGTTCAGGCCTAAGAATGTGACCAGGCAAGAGCCTGACTGTCTGTGGACCCAGACAGCACATCTATACAGCAAGACAGCAAGTCTATACAAGTAGCAGCCAGGTGTTAGTGGCTCACATTTGTAATCCTAGCTACTCAGGAGGCTGAGATCTGAGGATCAAGGTTCATAGCCAGCCTAGGCAGAAAAGTCCCTGAGACTTTTTTTTTTTTTTTTTTTGCCGGTTGTGGGGCCTGAACTCTGGGCCTGGGCACTGTCCCTCAGCTCTTCAGCTCAAGGCTAGCGCTCTACCACTTGAGCCACAGCACCACTTCTGGCTTTTTTTCTTTTTGCTTATGTGGTGCTGAAGAATCGAACCCAGAGCCTGATGCATGCAAGGCAAGCGCTCTACCACTGAGCCACCTTCCCAGCCCTCCCTGAGACTCTTATCTCCCTTTGGAGAACCACCAAAAAGCCAGAAATGGAGCTGTGGCTCAAAGTGGTAAGAGCCAGCCTTGAGTGCAAAAGCTCAGAGACAGCACCCAGGACCTGAGTATAAGCCCCAAAACTGGTGTGTACACACACACACACACACACTCCACCCCTGCCAGGTAGTGGTGCCCTGGGGTATATGGAAGTGCAACAGTGTCATAAGCTGCCAGATTTTCCTCACAACCCAGAGGGGGCTCTGCCCCCCCCCCCGGCCCTGGGGACAGGCCATGCATCCCCTCCAGCTGCAAGCATTTTTGGGTGTCTGCTGAGAACACCCTGGCCTGGCTGGAGCATCCCCTCCTCATGTCTCACACCTCCTTCACCCCCACAACCTCCACCAAAGTCAAATACCCAGAAATCGACTCATCCTGGTTTCCACGAATCAGCCTGGGCAGGCCGGGCCGCTCCCCTCCCCTCTTCCTGTTTTGCAGCGGCTCACCGCCGCTGCACGCGGGGGACGCTGGGTAACGTGGTCAGGTAGCTTTCGTGGGACACCTTCTCCCTCTTGCTCCCCTGCCTGCCCCTCCAGCCTACAAACACATTGTTTATGCAGAAAACCACGGGCCCCGCCCGGCCCGCAGCTCCTACCTACCTTCATCCTCTCGTCCGCATTCACTTTGCTGCCCTGGACCAGCTCCACGCAGAACGCCTGCTCCAGAGACCACAGCGACACCGAGGAAGGCTGGGGGGCGGGGGCAGGGCTTGTGACGTGACCCCAACACATGTCCCCAACAGCGTCCTCCTCCAGATAACCTGCCCTGCACGTGCCCAGGGCCCCCTACACCCCAGGATCTGCGGAGAACGCCCAGTGCCGAGGCTGCAGACAGGGCCTGGCACCAGCGCATCTGCGAACATGGCCACCCTTCCCAAAGCGCCGCGTCTCTACACGGACTGACCGAGGGCCCCTGGACTTGGGGCCGTCCTGGAGTGCTGCCCAGTAGGCAGCGAGACCCCAGGAGGGGAGGGCCGGGGAGGGGAACACCTGTCTCACCTTCTTCGCGGGAATGGGGGGCGGCTTGGTGCGTGGTTTCTGAACCTGGGGGGTGGGGTTGCTTTGCTCATCCCGCATGGCGAGGATGGTGGAGGAGTGGACCATGGTCAGGTGGGGGGTCCGTCCACTGTGCAGGCAGCTGCAGATGTACTGGAGGGGGTGCAGGGTGAGCTGCCCATGCGGCGGGACTTCCTAGCCCGGGCCTTGCGAGGAGCCCCGACCTCTCCTACCCGCACACCCAGCAAGAGGACTGTGTGTGTGTGTGTGTGTGTGTGTGTATGTGTGTGTGTGTGTGTGTGCGCGCTCGCGCTGGTCCTAGGGCTTGAACTCAGGGCCTGGGCACTGTCCCTGAGCTTTGTTTGGCTCAAGGCAGGTGCTGTACCACTTGAGCCACAGCGCCACTTCTGGCTTTTTTGATGTTTAATTAGAGATAAGAGTCTCACAGGTTTTCCTGCCTGAGCTGGTAGTGAGCCACGATCTTCCTCTCAGCCCCCGGAGTAGCTCAGATTGTAGACACGAGCCACCACGGGTGCCTGACTCGCTCTTCACAGTGATCCCCAAGACCTGGCTGGTCAGACTCAAGAGAGCCCCAAAAGACAGCTCTTCCCCCCTGCCCCTCCTCGCTGTGTCCAGGGTGGAGGAGGGAGGAGGGAGGAGGGAGGAGGGCCAGGCCCGCCTCACCTGGAACTGGCAGAGGGCGTGGCTGCCGTAGAGGTACTCCTGCTTTCCGTTCACGCGCAGCGCGTAGTCCTCGGGCCGCTCCGCCAGGCGCTGCCGGAACACCGTGGCCTTCTTCCGGAGCGCACAGGCCATCAGCGCCACGGGCTTGTCCTTGCTGGACACCTGGAAGGTGAAGCTTTCCTGGGGGGAGAGGGAGGGTCAGTCCTGTGCCCCGCAGGCCTCCGCAGCACCTGGGGCGCAGCCCGCCCTGAACCCCAGCTGCATGGGGGAAGCACCAGCTGGCGCCGGAGACTCATAGCCCACACCTCAATGCTGGTCCTGTGACCTCATGGACCAATGGCGGAGGGCATTGCGCCCATCTGCCTTGTCAAACTCGCCCTGTGGGACACTTGGCTGCGCCCTCTGCAGGCCTGGGGAGGGCAGATGCCATCTGATGCTCCTGACAAGAAGGCAGGTTTGGGCTGGGGAGGTGGCTTAGTGGTAGAGCGCTTGCCTAGCATGCATGAAGCCGTAGGTTCGATTCCTCAGTACCACATGCACAGAAAAAAGCCAGAGGTGGTGCTGTGGCTTAAGTGGTAGAGCACTAGCCTTCAGCAAAAGAAGCTCAGAGACAGTGCCCAGGTCCTGAGTTCAAGCCCCAAGACTGGCAAAAAAAAAAAAAAAAGATTTGCTGGGCACCAGTGACTCATGCTTGTAGTCCTAGCTACTCAGGAGACTTAGGTATTAAGATCGTGGTTCAAAGCCAGCCTAGGCAAAAAAAAAAGTCCATGAGACTCTTGTTTGGTTGGTTTTAGTCGGTCGTGGGGCCTGAACTCTGGGCCTGGGTGCTGTCCCTCAGCTCTTCAGCTCAAGGCGAGCGCTCTACCACTTGAGCCACAGTACCACTTCCGGCTTTTTTCTTTTTGCTTATGTGGTGCTGAGGAATGGAACCCAGAGCCTCGAGCATGCAAGGCAAGCGCTGTACCACTGAGCCACCTTCCCGGCCCCTCCATGAGACTCTTATCTCCAATAAGTAGCACTGGAATTGGCTGTGGCTCAAGAGGCAGAGTGCTAGGCTTGAGCAAAAGAAGCTAATGGGCAGGGTCTACGGCACAGCAGCCGGGACACCGGAGCCCGGGCTCACCTCACTGCCCTCGAACTTGACATTAACCAGCAGGGTCCGGTTGGGGGTCCTTGGGGAGCCAGCCCCCCAGCTCCTGGACGAGGGCTCCAGCTGCAGGGGGAAGCTGTACTGCAGCCAGGCCTCCCAGCCCAGCTGCTGGCGGTGCACCGCCGCCTCCTCGCAGAACTGGCGCATCTTCACCCGGAAGTCGTTCACCTCTGGATCCCGCAGGGAGTCAAACTCGTGGAGGCCTGCAGGATGAGGCCGAGGGGTGAGCCCAGAGGCCGGGGGTGGGTGGGGGGGTCCGCACAGCGGCGCGAGCCGCGGGGTACCTTTGCCGATGAGCAGGCTGATCTGCGAGTTGATGAGCTTCTTCACACGGTCGCCCTCCCGCGCGACCAGGCGCAGCACGGGCAGGAAGGGCTGCACGTCGCACAGCCGCCGCTGCTCGTCCTCCAGCTCCTGCTGCTCGGCCGTCTGGTTGACGCAGGTGAACACGTAGGCCTCGGGGTCGCTGAGCATGTGGAAGAACGGCTCATACTGGGCGTGGTGCCACAGCACCTGGCGGGGACAGGCCGCATCAGTGCCGCCGGCCCCAGCGCCCGGGCACAGGGGCGCGCCAGGCCCCGAGCGCGGCCTTGCAGTCAGCAGGCTTCCTGCCCGGCCCTGCATGTGCTGAGATCCGAACCTGCATCCTACACAGAGCAGGGGCACGGATGCCAGGTGTCCCCCCAACGGATTCTCAGGGGTGCATCTATCTTTTGTGTCAGTCCTGGGACTTGAACTCAGGGCCTGGGTGCTGTCCTTGCTTTTCTTTTCTTTTCTTTCTTTCTTTCTTGCTTGCTTGCTTGCTTTCTTCCTTCCTTTCTTTCTTTCTTGTCTTTTCTTTTTCTCAAATCTAGTACTCTACTACCTAAGCCACAACTCCACTTTTGGTTTTCTGGTGATTAATTGGAGATGAGAGTCTCCCAGACTTTTAAGAGTTTCATGGCTGGGCTGGGAATGTGGCTCAGCGGTCGAGTGCTTGCCTAGCATGCTTGAAGCCCTAAGTTTGATTCCTCAGTACCACATACACAGAAAAAGCCAGAAGGGGTGCTGTGGCTCAAGTGGTAGAGTGCTAGCCCTGAGAAGAGCAGCTCAGGGACACTGCCCAGACTCTGAGTTCAAGTCCCAGGACTGGCAAAAGAAAAAATAAAAGTAAGCCGGGCGCTGGTGGCTCACGCCTGTAATCCTAGCTACTCAGGAGGCTGAGATCTGAGGATCTCGGTTCAAAGCCAGCCCGGGCAGGAGAGACCGTGAGACTCCTATCTCCAATAAACCACCAGAAAACCGGAAGTGGCGCTGTAGCTCAAGTGGTAGAGCGCTCACCTTGAACTGAAGAGCTGAGGGACAGCGCCCAGGCCCAGAGTTCAAGCCCCACGACCGACCAAAAAAAGAAAAGAAAAGAAAAAAGTCTATGGACTTTGCCGCCTCAGCTGGCTTTGAACCTCGATCCTCAGGTCTCAGCCTCCTGAGTAGCTAGGATGACAGGTGTGAGCCGCTGGAGCCTGGCTCATGGTAACATTTCTAAAGCAAAGGACTGCACGGCTCATCAGTGGCCATGGAAGGACTGCGCAGTGGTGGGTGAGAGCCACCCTCTCTACTGCCATCTTGTCCAGTAGCCAGTAAGGTAGCCATCCAGCGGGAGGGAATGCACACTGTTAAAGTGCAAGCTGAAGCCGGGCGCCGCTGGCTTCCACCTGTCACCCTAGCTACTCAGGAGGCTGAGATCTGAGGATTTCGGCTCAAAGCCAGCCTAGGCAGGAAAGTCTGTGAGACTCTTATCTACCATAAACCACCAGAAAACCAGAAGTAGTGCTGTGGCTCAAGTGGTAGAGCACTAGCCTTGAGCCAAAGAGCACAGGGACAGCGCCCAGGCCCAAAGTTCAAGCCCCCCAACTGACCAAAAAAAAAAAAAATAGTGGAAGCTGAATTCAGAAGAACATGTGGAGCTTAACCAAGTTGAAAAATGATTCTTCTTGGGTACTTTACAGCTTCTAAAATTCACATCAAAGCCAGGCTCCAGTGGCTCACGCCTGTCATCCCAGCTACTCAGGAGGCTGAGATCTAAGGATCACAGTCTGAAGTCAGGCCAAGCAGAAAAGTCCATGAGCCTCATCTCAATTAACCACCGAAATGCCAGAAGTAGAGCTGTGGCTCCAGTGGCAAGGGTTCTAGCTAACTTTGAGTGAAAAAGCTAAGGGACAGATCTTAGGCCCTGAGTTCAAGCCCCCGAACCAGCACCTACACACACACACAAATTCCCATGTAAGAACTTGCAGGTCTGAGAAATGATGTCTGTCTGTCTTTTCTCTGAGCTCCAGACTTGGGTAGAGGCCATACCTGCTTGATGGTGCTGAGGTTGGCATTGCGGGACACTGGGAAGTTCAGGTAGACCCCGGTGGGCAGCAGGAAGTCCACCACCACGCTCTGATTCTCCTCCTTGGTCCAGAATTCCATGGGGCAGTCCACCCCAGGAGACATCCTGCCCGTCACTCCTCACAGGCCGGCTGTCCTGAAGAAGGGGAGAGGCACGGGGTGGGGGAGGGGGAGAGTGAGCTGGAATCTATGTCTCTGCATCCGGGCCTCCTCCTGCCCAGGCAGCTTGTGGCTCCTACCACACCCGGCTACTGTGTGGTTCCGACTGCCTCTCACCACAGGCAGAGACACCCTGGGAACAGATGGGCACACGGGAGAGAACACAGCCCAGCCACCAGCAGGAGCAGACCAGAGAAGGCAAGGAGGCCGTGCGGACCAACGCTGCAGAGCTTCCAAAGTTTCTAATCAGGAATCCATGGGTTTGACAATGGCTTTGACCAGGTAACAATTGGCTGAATATCTGACTCATTCCACTTCCCATCAGCCTCCTGACCCCACAGTAAGCCACAGAAACACTACCAAAGTGATTCAAAGAGTGTGGCACCCCATCCTCCAGCCACCACGCCCCCTCTCACCTCCCACCTCCCCTTCTTGTCACCATCTGGAATCTCCTTGTTTATAGACCTATGCATGTTTTCTTTCTTTTGTCAGTTGTAGGGCTTGAACTCTGGGCCTGGGCGCTGTCCCTCAGCTCTTCAGTTCAAGGCGAGCGCTCTACCACTTGAGCCACAGCGCCACTTCTGGTTTTCTGGTGGTTTATGGAAGATAAGAGTCTCAGGGACTTTCCTGCCTGGGCTGGCTTTGAACGGCGATCCTCAGATCTCAGCCTCCTGAGTAGGATGACAGGTGTGAGCCACTGGCGCCCGGCATCTATGCATGTTTTCTATACTTTTATTATGCTAATTATTTACACATGAACAATTTGTAATTTTTTTTCCCATGCCACTACTAAGGCTTGAACTCAGGGCCAGACACTGTCCCTGAGCTTTTCTGCTCAACGCTGGTGCTCTACTACCAGAGCCACACCTCCACTCCCACATTTTTGGTGGTTTAATTGGAGATGAAAGTCTCATGGGGGCTGGGAAGGTGGCTCAGCGGTAGAGTGCTTGCCTTGTATGCATGAGGCCCTGGGTTTGATTCCTCAGCACCACGTAAGCAGAAAAATGCTGGAAGTGGCGCTGTGGCTCAAGTGGTAGAGCACTAGCCTTGAGCTGAAGAGCTGAGGGACAGCGCCCAGGCCCAGAGTTCAAGCCCCATGAGCGATGAAAGAAAGAAAGAAAGAAAGAAAGAAAGAAAGAAAGAAAGAAAGAAAGAAAGAAAGAAAGAAAGAAAGTCTCCTGGGCTTTCCTGACCTGTTGGAGAGAGGGGGGGATGGCAAACTTGGGCCTGCTATCCTAGCTTCCTGGGAGGTCAACAAAGGAACCAGCCTGGGCAAAAAGCTCAAGATAACCACATCTCGACCAGCATAAAAGAAAATCTGGGCATGGTGGTGTGTGCCTGCCATTCCAGCCAGCTGGGAAGCTGGGAAGTTTTAGTAGGAGGATCACAATCCAGACTAGAGGCATGATTCAACTGGTAAAGCTCCAGTTACGCAAGCACAATCCCCAGTATTACCAAAACCAAACCAAAGCAAAACAGAGGGAAAAGCAGCAGGCAAAGTGAAATGTTAATATCTTTTGCTAACTCAATATGCCCAAAAGATGGTCATTCTCATGTGCAATGAATGGGAAAATTAGTAATGAGATACTTTATTTACTCCTTTTGATATCGATGTTGAATTCGGGTGTGGACTACACTGCATTTTCGTTGGTAGCTTTTCAGTCTGATGTAGAAGCATAGGTGATAAGCAGGTTCTCAGACTCTGGCTGTTTCAACGCTCTTCTAGTAATCATGTATCAATTTTGAAGTTTAAAATAATAATAAATTTAATTTCCATTTGCAGTACTAGTGTTTGAACTCAGGGCCTGTGCTTGTCTGGCTATAGCTCTACCAGCTAAGCCATACCTCTAACCTGGCTTTTTGCTGATTATTTGAGAGATGGAGTCTAATGGACTTTTCTGCCTGGGCTGGCCTCCAACCAGGATCCTCCAGGCCTCAGCCTCCTGAATAGCTAAAATTATAGGTATGAGCTACCAACACCCAACTAAATTAATGTAAATTAAATATTGTTTTAATATTCTATTCCTTAAAATAAATTTCTCAATTACAGTACCCATGTTTTTTTTTTTTAAATCACATGGGTATAATCGGACTGGTACAACCACATCATCTGCTTTACTAACTAGCATTAAATTGTTCTTCAAATGGTGGAGGCCCCTAGCGATCACGCCCGGCTAACCAGTCTCCATCTCTGCCTTCCTCAGCCAGCGACACACTCACGCTTACTCATTTGTTTCCAATTTGGCTGATATTTTCATTTGCATTCCCATGAGTATCTGCCAAACAGTAAGCCTCGGCAAATAGCCCGTTTGCAGCCTTGGCCCATTTTCTGACGAGGTATTTATCTTTCTCTTCCACACCCCAGCCCTCCGTGGGCTAAAATCTGGGAATGCCCTCTCTTTGTCTTGCCTCATCTTTTCACTTTTTTTTTTTTTTGTCCGGTCATGGCGCCTGAACTCTGGGCCTGGGCGCTGTCCCTCAGCTCTTCAGCTCAAGGCTAGCACTCTACCACCTGAGCCACATCGCCACTTCCGGCTTTTTTCTTTTTGTTTATGTGGTGCTGAGGAATTGAACCCAGGGCCTCATGCATTCAAGGCAAGCGCTCTACCACTGAGCCACCTTCCCAGCCCATCTTTTCACTCTTGTTTCTGGTTTTTTTCTGGTAAACTAAAGTTTTTTTTTAATGTTGATGCAGCCAACAAACTTGTCCCTTTCATTTCCTTCCCTTCCCTTCCGCTTCCCCTTCCTCTTCCCTCTCTCCTTCCCTTCCTCCCTCCTTCCTTCCCTCCCTCCCTTCCTTCTTTGTGGTCCTGGGGTTCAAACTCAGGGCCTCGCACTTGCGAAGCAGCACTCTATTACTGCTGAGGTACACCCCCGGCCCCATTTTTTCTGGTTATTTTAAAAATAGGGTCTTGCTTCCTGTGCAGCGCATGCCTGGACTGTGGTCTCCTCCGCTGGGCTTCCTGCCACTGCTGGGGTAGAAGGCATACCCCACTGCATCTGTGCTCCCTCCACAGAGACAGTCTCTCAAACTTTGCTACCTGGGACGATGCACCTCCTCATCTGAGTCTCCCATGTAGCTTAGTATAACAAGTGTGTACCATTGTGCCCAGCTATAAGAAAAGGCTCTTGTGAACTCTTCTGCCTGAGCTGGCCTCAAACTGCTACCCTCCTATTCTCAGCCTCCCAAGTAGCTAGGATTACAGGCATGAGCCACTGTGCTTGGCCACAGTCTTTTTTTTTTGAGTGCCAGTACTAGGGCCTGAACTCAGGAACTCTTGCTCTCCCTTGGCTTTTCTGCTCAAGGCTGGAGCTTATCACTAGAGCCAATTCTACTTCTGGCTTTTTGGTGGTTACTTGGAGGTAAAAGTCTCACAGACTTCCTGCCCAGGCTGGCTTCTAACTTTGATCCTCAGATCTACAGCCTCCTGAGTAGCTAGGATTTATAGGCTTGAGCCCGAGCACCTGGCTCTTTTTTTTTTTTTTTTAAGGTATGTCTCATGTAGTCTTTGCTGGCCTTGATTTGGTAACCTCCTACCTCTGTCTCCCAAGTACTGGGATTACAGGCATGCATCACTGCAACTGGCTTTTTCTTTCATTTTCATGCTTTGCTAGCCATGCGGAACACACACCCGGGCTGGGGTTGTCAGTGGCAGAGCACATGTTTACCAGGCATGAGCAACATACGTGCTATAAACCTAGCACAAAATAAAAATAAAGGCTTTTGTACTTAATGGAAGGTCCCATTCTGCTGAGCCTAAGTAACTTGTCATAGTGGCAAGAATGCCCTTCCACTGAGAGGTGTCCTCTGGGTGCCCTGGTAACAGGCCGGGCCCGCCCTCGCTGGCTGCTGCTCTGAACAGCAGAATCTGAGCCTTACCGTGCACCTCTGGGTATCACCGAGCCTCACCGTGCACCACCGAGCCTCACCATACACCACCGAGCCTCACCATGTACCACCAAGCCTCACCGTACACCACTGAGCCTCACTGTGCATTACTGCGCATCACCGAGCCTCACTGTGTACCACCGAGCCTCACCGTGTACCACCGAGCCTCACTGTGCACCACTGAGCCTCACTGTGCGTTACTGCGCATCACCGAGCCTCACTGTGCACCACCAAGCCTCACCGTACACCACTGAGCCTCACTGTGCACCACCAAGCCTCACCATACACCACTGAGCCTCACCATGCGTTACTGCGCATCACCGAGCCTCACCGTGTACCACCGAGCCTCACTGTGCGTTACTGCACATCACTGAGCCTCACCGTGCACCTCTGGGCACCACCATGCATCACTGGGCATAGTTGAGCCTTATCATGTACCTCTGGCCATCACTGTGCACCTATGGGCATCACCGTGCAGCACTGTGCATCACTGAGCCTCACCAGACACCTCTGGGCATCATGGTGCACCTCTGGGCATCCCCGAGCCTCACCAGACACCTCTGGGCATCACTGGGCATCATCGAGCGTCCCCGTGCATCCCCGAGCCTCCCATGCACAAGCACGCCGAGCCCAGCATCACCCTGAGTCACCCTGTGTCACCCCGCGTCGCCTCGCCCACCCACGCCACGGCAGCTTCAGCCACTTCCTCAGAGTGTAAAACCACATCCTCCGTGGAGTGCCTCTTTCCGAGAAGGGCGGGGCCAAACCTTCCTGACTGCTGGGGGCAGCGCCTGAGCGGCCACTTGCGGGACTGGACATGGCCGAGGAGGCCGCACATCACCGATGCAAAGGGACAGGAGGGAGGGGCTCCTGCCCTCTTTCTGGCCCCCCACTCAGCGCACGCACTGTGCCTTGTCCTTAGGGAAGCAGAGATCCAGCACCTTCCAGTAGGACCCGACTTCCATTTTGTCTCAGAAATGCAAATTGGAAAGCAAAGGAAGGGTTGTCATTGGCCAAAAAAAGAAATGCACTCATTACCAGTCTTATGAAATGGTAAGCCCTCTGTACAATACCCTAATCATAACAAT